GCTGACGTCTTAAAGTGTCACTTTACACAAGCCTGGAGGGTAGAAACATTAACTTCATTTTTAACGAATTAAAAAAATATATTTGTTTCACTTTTTTCAAAAAACACCAAATTCAAAATGAACATAAACATCAAACTTGACGATTAGGAAAAAAGTTGGCAAATAAATAATTTAATGGAACACCTGACCTTAAACAGAAGCAGTGATATTTTTGTCTGAGAAGTTATCGAAATTATCAAAATCATCCGTTTAAACTGTAAAATAATATAAGTAAAACGTTGCACATAATCGTTTAAAGGGAATAACAAATGTAATAAAATTCAATTGTAATGAAACAAAATTTACTAGCTGCTATACTAGCAAGTGTATAGAAGTTATAATATTTCACACAAGAAGAACACACCTTGAAAAAACAATTTGTGTCTATATGCAACTTATGCTTCGTTGAAATAATTCGCAAAACAGAAATCAGGTCGCTTTGCATCACTTATGATACATTTCCTGTGAGCAAGAAAACACGTGTCAACAGAGTCGCAACCATTTGACCTGGAGGATTTTATAAACTCTCGTTTAAGTCGCATTTTTATGTGCGCCTTAGTTATAAGACAATGAATTTTTTTCAATGTACAGAGTGTTTTAGAATTATGTAATTGAACGCGCACTTTCAACAGATCTATTCAAACAAAATTTAGACTATTCGTCGAAATTGTCTTGTCATGTTGTAATATCTTAATTTAGGTTGACTTGACGCTATTTGTTTTAAGATCTTGACATTCGACATGGTAGCTGCCAACAATGGCTGTCAATTCGTAAGCTCGACGGTTTCTACATGCGCTGTATTTACTACATTCTAATCAACTTATCTAGAACGGGTTGGTTATCTCATAAATAAAAAAATAAAAAGAAACTGGGAGATCTAATCATTTCCGGCCCTTTCCGTAAGTAAAAAAATTATACGAATATTGAAATTAAAATGTTATTTTAAACATGCTTAGGCATTATAGTAAATTGGTAGAAATAATTTATAATTTTCACAATAGGTTCTTTTTGACTATCAAACTTTTTCAAACGGTTTAGTCTGCAAAATAGGAACGTGGTATTAAGTAAAATGTCGTTTACCGCACTTGTATAAAATACTATTTATCACGGACAATGCAAGCAAATGAATTCATTTACGTCAATACGATCAAATTTGTTTAAAGACTTTTATTACGAGAAGTATTATAGGACTTAAAAATCCAACCTGTGTCGAATTAGCTATGACCCAAATCATTGAACCCGCTGCACAATTTTCACAAATTTCAAATTATTTTAGTAACCAAAATTTTAATCATGTACCACATATTCGCCCTACAAATTATTTTCAATATAACAATCACCATAACTAAAATTTTAGAATTATACATGATCAACATCAGTTTACTCTTCAGACTAATAATTTTCCCAGAGGTCCAATTAATATGCCTCAACCACGCGAAGTTCCAAGACATTTTCCTACAAATAGGCAAGTTTTTGGCCCACCTATAAATCTATTTAAACCTAGAGGTCAGGTACATACCAATACACCCGAACCTATGTCAACGAGAAGAAACTATACCATACCACGTCAAAATAATCAAATTCGCCATTTTAAAACTGGTCCTAGAAATGTTATTTCGCAAGGATTATACCATATCGACGAAAATAACGCGGTTTAAACAGGTGAAATATCTGCGTTATTTGAAAATGAAAATATTAGCCAAGAGGAATACTCCGAAAATATTGAATTTTGAAATGAAATTGAATACTTTAATGACACTCAAAATTTTGACGAACACCCTGGAATAGAAAATCAAATCTCTCAAAATTTTACAATAACGAGTCAATGCGACTCAACGAGATGACATTAGAAATGTATATCGAAATTAAACCGAAATTAAAAAAAATAACTAATATACAAGTCATTAAAGGTTTCTATTTTCCCGAAACACTACTACAAAAAATTCTATTGCATATAATTAAACTGAGAAAAATATACCGTTAAATTTCCCACAACCTCTAAACGTTTTGTCTTTTCTGGACTTTCATGAAGAAAATTTTGAAACATTTTACCAAAACATAAGGAACAATTTAGTAAATACGACATTTCCAAAATAATTCGTTGCGAACAAATAGATTCAGAAGAGTTTGATTGCTCTGTTCGTTATAAGAAGGGGACACAGAACACCAACGCTGATGCCCTGTCACGCATCGAAGTAAATATAACGAGTAAGGATAAGGAGTCACTTTTCGGAAATCGTGGAAATATTAGTGAAGACATTGATAAGTACATTCATGCGGAAGAAGATCAAAATATAAGCTTTAAACAATTGCAAGAAATTAAAGACGTGTTTGACCGTAGAGAAAATTTAAACACTCCAAAAATTAATATCATCTCCGACATTCAAATTCGACACTCTTTTAACTGACAAAAAAATAATTCACAAATCTCAGATCCAAAAACCTAAAGCTTTTTCTTCTTCGCGGGTTAATAAACCGGACAACGCTGTTCCTTCTTGCAGCTACGCTATTATTAATGATAGCGAATAATGATATTGACGTTATCCCGATCAAAACACCACTTTTACCCTTCCGCTTAAGAAATGCTCGAATTAATCAACATCAACATACTTTTTTGCATTTTGTAGAAACATCTCCACTATTTAATCAATTATGTAATTTAGAGTACGCTTACGCTGTAATCTCAAGATCACTAAAATATACAAATAAACATAATGGTCAAAATGTACACTATATTATCGGAAATAATTTAATTAACAATGCTCGATATTTAATCACACAAGTAAAATTCAAACTCGGTAATTTCAAACCTATTAACCGTATGAAAAGAGGTTTAATAAATGCTGTAGGTAAATTATCGAAATGGATTTTTGGCACTCTCGATTCAGAGAATGGACAAAAATTTGATAGAACTATCGCAGAACTTGTTCGTAGTAAACATTCATCTGACATCCAACTAAAAAAGCAAACCTCCTTGATTCAACAGCTGATCAACAATTATAATGACTCTATAACACTTCTACACAAAAATCAAGAAACTATTACAACACATTTAGACATTTTTGAATATAATTTAAATAAAAAAAAAACTTTTGTTAAAGCTCAAAAATAATTTAGAAGATGGCATTACATTTGCGAAATTAAAGATTGCATTAGAACAAATAATTCTAAAATTGAAGGTTCTCTATGGTGATCATCAAATTATAATTTTTGAAAATCAAAATAATTATTATCAGTTAGAAAACTTATAAGTTAAATTTGCTAAAGATATAATAATTTTTGTCGTCCATATTCCGATTTTTCTTAAAGAAATTTGTTAAATGTTCCACCTATTACCAATACCAGTAAATCGATCCTTAATTTACCCTACCTAATATTGGGCTCTGATGCAACAATATCAAGAAGCAATCTGTCCAATCATTGAAGACACCTACGTTTTCGAAAATCTGCCGAAAACAAAAATTGCTACGTAGTCAATGTAAATGTTTCAACGCATATAATGCGACCAATCACTAGTAGATTTGTTTTGATAATACCATCTGAACAGAAACTTAAATTACAAATGAATTGTCGAAATAGAGAAATAGCTTCTATTGAAGAAGCTTGCCTAATTAATGTTCCATGTAATTGTGGTAAAAGTACTTAAAATACTGAGCTTTGGAATAAAAAAAAACTTTTTAAAGGAAATCCATTCTCACAGCCATCCATTAAAATTGAAAATATGGAACATCACGACGTGAAGTACCAGCCACGCCAACTACAATCTCAATACGATCAAAAAACTACGAGAAGCTGCGAAATCATCGATCCCCTACAATGGTTATGAAATTCATCCAGTCACTTGGAGTCTCGCCACTTCAACGGGAAGCACAACTAGTCTTCTGAAAACAACCCTTCGTCATTGTTGTTTTCCACTACGGTGGGACGAATTATGTGATAGAATATGGTGATGCCTACAAGAAATGCAAGCTTGAGCATTCCCAGTATCTGCCACGCGACGTTCGCGTAAGAACGTTATAAATATATACAATGTCCTTTGAATTCAATTTCCCCTTGTAACGGCTTAATCTAAAGCTCGTAGCTCTGTTTAAAACTTAACTATCATAATTTTAATCATAATTTAATACTGTTTCTCAAACTTAGTAAAATATTCTGAAGTAGAATTAAAATTACGAATAAAAACATTTTTTTTGGTAAACATCCTGCAGCTTTCTTACTAAATATTTATTAATAAAATTTCCTAGTGAAAGTCCTTTTCCTTGCCGTATCACCTATCAATGGCGTAGAACACCCTGTAGTATCAATAGTTTTTGTGAATGAAGTTGTCCGCGAAAAAATGTTTTTTTTTCGTTTAAAAAAATGCATATATAATATTATCCGGCAAAATATTTGAAAAAAGATACACATAAATCCATGATTTGCGATATTTAAAACGCGTTATTTAGTGTATTTGATAAAGTTAAGTAAACAGTAAATAATTCCTAATTTAAATAATTGTATTAATGGATTTGTCTACAAATTACACAAATCTTTGGTTATAATGACGATAAAAACATGCACTCTTCGGAAAATGTTTTAAGTCGCAGCAATTTACCTATTTATTAATACTGCTGAAGGTTGGTGATCTAGGAGTGATCACTAACTTCATTTAGATTAGATTTGACGTTTTAAAATTTTAAAGCTATAAAACATATATATTTCCTTATCTTGCATGGAGAAGAAATGCACTCGTTTGTGTTCCTAAAAAATTTTAACAGCAAGATATAAAAAAAATACATTGAATCTGTATGTATGTGTAGATATGTTTTATTCACCTAATAATTGGTACCCACGATCGGAAAACTAAGGAATTTATATGATAACGTTAAACAAATTCATGTATGATTTTGTAATACAATGATTTGTTAACCCTAAACACGGTATATCAGTAAAATATTCTATAACGAAAAAGTCGGGCTTACCTTCCTCATCAGAAAGATAATCTTCAAAGACTTGTCAGTGACTTTTTTTCATAACAGCCTCTGGGTGTCAATCAATCGTCTCAAAAAATCTGATTGCGAGACGCTACTGAATTTACAAACTTTTTGAACTTATACCAAAACAGACTAAAATCTATAATACATTCGCGTAAGTTTAGCTGAACCGTGACGCTTTTTGTGCGCGTCGGCAAGCGTCTCGACGTCGACTATAGCAAGAAGCGTCGCGAAGGTTGGCTCGGCCCTTTTGACGACGCGTCGACACGCACAGCGCTGGTCTGTTCTACTATTATGCAACAGTGCGCGGGTGGAGAACACCCAATAGGGTCAGTTGTCTTGTGCCATGTGGAATAATGCAGAAGAATAAATACGATTCTTGAAATTGGATAACGGCTTTCTCATGAGAACTAAATACGAGTGGCAATAGCGGAACATCTTTTTCCAAGAAAACTATCGTTACTTGCCTTAACTATTTAACTATATATAACTTATTATTATTATTATTATTATATAACTTAATATATATAACTATATATAACTTATTATTATGATTATATAACTTAACTATAACTATTACACGTTTTGAGAAAAATATATGGGTCACTTTGTCACCTTATGTGAGACTCCCGATACATATTTGTAGCAACATGATTTTTTCTATTCCTATTTATTTCAAGGATTTTGCAAGTTTATAATTTCGCGACATCAAATTCGTGAAATTTGATATCAAAATTAAGCAACCGATAACCAACCAAAATAAATTTATGACCAAATAAGAAAATTTTATTCTCCCCGATATGAACAATTTTAATATCCATGCAACAATCCTGATGCGAGCAGGGCAACTAGATTTTTGCCACTCTCGCCGCTTTATGCCCCTGCTTCAAGTAAAGCGTCGAGAACTTGTTGAAAACATCATCGGCAGGAGTCCTTTGTGAACCCGCCAAGCTTTTAGCCATCTAGCGGCTGTCAGGGCCAGCACGCACAGGAGCAATTTGTTTTATTTGTTTTCTAACGGGGTCGACTTCAAAAGCAGCAATCCAGGGTTGCCACCTTTATAAAATATATATTTTTGCAATGGTAAGTAAAATTCCACGTCTGCAAAATCAACACATATCGCAAATATTTTATCTATTTACTTAACGGATTTACCAGTTTACAAGTAAAAATATGTAATAAAAATTTAATAAAACAAGTAACAATCACATCAACAGTGTTTATAAATAACGTATTAACTCAAACATTCTTATATAACCTCAAAACAGGTACCTAGGTACAAATAACACTTTTTCATTACTCTGTGCTATTGTAGTCTTCGGTATTGTGGGTATATACGTATAGTATGGTATGGTGGACCGCAACTCAGGTCTTCACCTGTCACCAATATGGGAATCAGTCATCCGAGACGGTGTTTATGCCCCTCATTTAGCTCCGCCCCCCTCAAATAATATAAAAGCAGAATAAAATGCGAACCAATTTCAGTCAAGCTCTGAAGAAGCCAACAGCATGATTGGCGAAACGTTAGCTAGTTCAACAAAAACCCCCGCAAACGAAATCCAGAGGTTTTATTAAAAAAATATATAAATTGGTATTGGAAAAATAGAAAGGGTGTTTATAAATTAATAAGGTTTCAAAAGCGTCTCAAAACAAATGCTAAAAACTTAGGAACCATTAGGAAGATGTCGCGCTATAAATATGATGGAGAAATAATATTTTTATGTTTTATCTCCAAAACGAAAATAGGTAGAACAATAAAATATTACAAAAGTATTACTATCATAAAAACACACTTTCTGCAAATTTTTTAAAATCAGTGGAGGGGATGGAATTAGACTACCCCTATAATTCTTTTTAATTAAATTTAAAGAAAAACTCACACAATGACATACGAAAAACTACATTTCGATAGATCAGTTTATTACAAACTTTTTGTTGCCTGGAAGTTTTTCATAAAACTTACAGTTTTAAAATAAAAAAATAAAATATACAGCAATGGATGTCAATTGTTTTCAAAAAATAATTTAGTTGGCTGCTATCAAATAGTTGTTTTTTGTAAAAATAATTTATTAATAAACATTTACTAATTGAACTATTCATAAGTAAATTGCATACATCATTTAGTCAATAACAGGTTGGAATATGCCTGGACTATTTGTTATGACATTACAAGACGCGAATATCCGATTGCCTATATGGCCTGTATGTAAAGAACGTAATTCTTCTTATTTAAAGCGAATATAGGACTCACCAGTTATACTAAACTTAGAAAATGTGACCCAATTAAATAAATGAACATGTACAATTCCTAACCAAACGTTAACGGCAAACTAATATTGTAATACATTACAACATATTCTGTTTTGAGTTGCCCTTGAGAAACTATCTTCGTCCGAAAAGAGACTTAAATAACTTAAATTGCGAACATTACGTCTTTTGCACATTACTTACCGGGTCCGAAGCATGGACACTTAAAAAGTCATATATGGCTTTCGAAAGATAGTGATATCGACGAATGTTGAAAATCTCATGAACTCTCAGGATTAACTACTTAGAACTATGACAAAGACTCAGAAAGAAGAAAAAAAGAAAAAAGTTAGAATACTTTGGCCACGTAATCAGAGGACTAAAATATGCGACGCTACACATTATGGAACGAAACATCGAAGGCAGGTGGAACCAAGCATAAAAAATTACTGGAATGACATCAAACCAGCTATTCAAAGTGGCTAATAATAAGATCAGGATAGGCATGATGATATCCAACGTCCATTAGGAGAAGGAACGAGAAGGAGAGGATACATCAGTATTAAATTCTGCAGCAATTTTCACCGCTTGTTTCCGGTACTTCTAATCCGGGAGTTCAAACTTCGCAGTGTCGGCCAGTATCAAAACTCATTTTTTCGAAACTTCCACATTTATGTAGCCTTTAATGGAGCGAAGTAAACAAGGTGCGATTATTATACACAAACGCATACGACAAGCTTCCAATTTCTTCATTAGTGTGATTCACCAATATTTAATTAAAACTCTTATTATTGAACAGTTAAATGATGAGATAATAAATTGTTAATTATATTAGCCGCATATTTTCTATTCAAACTAACTGACCAATGTCAAATAAAGTAATAATAGGAAACGCCTTAAGAAGTGACAGTAGATGAATAAAGAGACATCCAGGCCCACATAACCTCACTTTTTGGCTTCCCGGCCACGGGTCCCCCGGCCATGGGCCACTCGGCCATGGGTCTTCTTTTCGCATCCTGGCCCATTGACCACTCGCCCATAGGCCGCTCACCCATTGGTTCAAGGCCACTCGCCCATTGGCCACTCCCCCTAACCTATCCAAACCGTGGTCCGTGGTGCCAACGAAACCGTTGTCCGTGGTGCCAACCAAACCGTCGTCCGTGGTGCCAACCGTGGTCTGTGGTGCCAACCGTGGTCCGTGGTGCGAACCGTGGTCCGTGGTGCCAACCGTGGTCCGTGGTGCCAACCGTGGTCCGTGGTGCCAACCGTTGTCAGTGGTGCCAACCGTCGTCCGTGGTGCCAACCGTTGTCAGTGGTGCCAACCAAACCGTTGTCTTTGTCCGCTCGCCCATGAGCCGTTCGCCCGCGTGCCGTTCGGGGGCGTAGCCCCCGCCGGTAGAGTCCCCGCTGCGCCCCCCCGCCCCCGCCGAAGTATTTAACCAATTCGATGGGCGGTTTTAGGTTGCCGAAACTGTCGAAATAGTCGACATCCGTCCCCATCTTCTTGTAGGCTACCCAGTGAGTTCCTCGATTTCGACTCAAGTCCAAATTAACTATACCACACTCTTTCGATCTGATTCGTTCGGGTAAGGTGTCTCGCATAAAGACACCCCTAAAATAAAGTATTTTTAACTTGCGTGCCGCCGCCACTAAATCGATATCGTATAGGGCTCTTCTGGGCAGCTTTATAGGAAGTTTTTTTGCTTGTTCAGGTAGAGACCGAATCCGCCGCTCGGACTCTTTTTCAAAAATAACCCCGAACCGGTCTTCCCGATCTCTTCCATTGCGCGGTCATGTCGAAGGTCCTCCTCTAGTTTCTTTTGTGCGTTTTGCACATCGATGACTGTTTTGGCAATGGCAGCGGCACCGCCCGAGAGCGAACCCAAAGCCCCGAGGGCACCTAATAACGGTAAAATGGGTAAAATTCCCCCCTTCTTCTTCTTCTTCGATTCGAACGGTATAATGCGGGGCACCTTAATTTTTTTACGCCCGCCCGCCTTTTTGACGGCGTCTCTGCCCGCCCGAAGCGCCTCCGACGCACCGCGCTTTAAAGTTGTCGGATTATCGTGGTGCAACAATTGTTTTTTCTTCAATGCGTTGCGAATTTTTTTAACGATCCCCTGTCGAAAGGAAACGGGGCTACGCTGCTTGCGTGATACTTTAATTTTCTTGCGCCCACCCGCCTTCTTTTTTTTTTAACCCCGAGCGATGACGTTTCTGCTGCTGCTGCTTCCGCTGCTTTGGTTGGCCCATACCGAGCTTGCGTTTGGCCTTAACTGTGGCAGTGACAAGGAACGCTCCCGCTTTTTCACCAAACTTCGCGTCTTTCGCTTTTACTCGCTCCCACGCACGCTTTTCCAACTCTTTATCCGCTTTGTGGCGCTCCTCGAGCGATTGGTGTTGCGAATAAGCAATATCGTATTCCCTACACGCCGCGTCCAAAGGATTCACGCCGCTATCGCCGCGACTAAGCCGTTTTTTCAATTTCGTCCCCGGTCCGCAAAATTGATAACCGGGAAGGTGTAGTTCGAAAGGTAACTTATTTATCAGCGTGTTAACGAGGCCGCTTCCGGACGCAAAGTATAACATACTGACAAAATGAAATTACGGAGTGTCTATATATATATATATATATATATATATATATATATATATATATATATATATATATATATATATATATATATATATATATATATATATATATATATATATATATATATATATATATATATATATATATATATATATATATATATATATATATATATATATATATATATATATATATATATATATATATATATATATATATATATATATATATATATATATATATATATATATATATATATATATATATATATATATATATATATATATATATATATATATATAGTTGAAGTAATGCGGGGTGATGCCGCACTCTCCCTCATCGAAAATTTAGATTCTGGTTTCGTTTAAAGATTTTTTTTTGCGGGAACAAGAACGTCATCAACAGGAACACCGGGATGGTCGACTAACTGGACGCAAAAAGAAGAAGAAGAAGAAGACCCTCCTCGATAAATATTTGTTATTGTATTTATAGTTTTCTTTAATTAAACTTGGACACGCGGGCGCCTCGCGGTGACGCAGCCGCTGATAGGAATAATGTTGAGAGCGCGCGCGCGACATCTAGCAGCAACGGGACGGAACCGACGGTACATAATTAGCGCGGCATTAAAGTGATCGTTCCACGACGGACGGGTTTTCACGGCAGCCCCACCGTGATGGCGGGGGTGGCGGGGGGGCGCAGCGGGGACTCTACCAGCGGGGGCTACGCCCCCGCGCGGGCGGGGCCCCCAAACGGCACGCGGGCGAACGGCTCATGGGCGAGCGGACAAAGACAACGGTTTGGTTGGCACCACTGACAACGGTTGGCACCACAGACGACGGTTGGCACCACGGACAACGGTTTGGTTGGCACCACTGACAACGGTTGGCACCACGGACCACGGTTGGCACCACGGACTACGGTTGGCACCACGGACAACGATTTGGTTGGCACCACGGACGACGGTTTGATTAGGTTGGCACCAAGGACAACGGTTGGCACCACGGACAACGATTTGGTTGGCACCACGGACGACGGTTTGGTTGGGTTAGGGGGAGTGACCAATGGGCGAGCGGCCTATGGGCGAGCGACCTTGGACCAATGGGGTGAGTGGCCAATGGGCGAGTGTCCAATGGGCGAGCGGCCAGGACGCAAAAAGAAGAAGACCCATGACCGAGTGGCCCATGGCCGAGTGGCCAAAAAGAAGAAGACCCAAAGCCTATGGCCGAGTGGCCCGGGGGCGGGGGCCCGTGGCCGAGAAGCCAAAAAGTGAGGTTATGTAGGCCTGGATGTCTCTTTATTCTTCTAGCGCGCGCGACATCTAGCAGCAACGGGACGGAACCGACGGTACATAATTAGCTCGGCATTAAAGTGACCATTCAACGACGGACGGGTTTTCACGGTGGTTAGGCAGCCCCCCGAGATGGCGGGGGTAGCGGGGGGCGCAGCGGGGACTCTACTAGCGGGGGCTACGCCCCCGCGCGGGCGGGGCCCCCGAACGGCACGCGGGCGAACGGCTCATGGGCTAGCGGACAAAGACAACGGTTTGGTTGGCACCACTGACAACGGTTGGCACCACGGACGACGATTTGGTTGGCACCACGGACAACGGTTTAAAACTTAAAGTATAAGTTTTTCCTTAACTTTAGTTAAAAAGAATGTTAGGGGTAGTCTAATTTAATCCCCTCCACTCATTAAAAAAAACGCCAAAAGTGTGTTTTCATAATATAGTAATACTTCCGTAATATTCTATTGTTCTATCTACTTTCGTTATTAAGATAAAAAATAAAAACAAACAACTAATGGTTGACTTTTGACCCAACGTTTATTTAACAAACTACCTCTTATTTTAAACAAATAATCATCTTCTAAAATTTTGCGCATTTATTCTGAAACACCCTGTATATATTGATATCGTGAGTTAATTTGCGCGTCGTTGTTATACAGAACTCCAACAAAATCACCATCAATCGTTCAAAATAACAAATAAGTTTTCTGTTATTTTGATCAAACTAAAAGACAATCAAAAATTTATGGGAGCCCATAGTAATTATTGAAAGACAATAGTTCCGAGAACAGTCTATAGATTTAATCCCGGTCTTTACACTATTGATTCGATACTCAGTACAGTCACTGGAATATCCATTTTTGCATCGTGAAATATGTTTTTGGCAAAAAATAGGAAATAACTCCGATAACCTGTCAGGTTGGAGATTGTGAACTGATGAAGACGATGATATTTACGTTAAACAAATTTTTGACTTCCGGTACTTTTTCAATATTTTAATAGGCTGGAGACTTTAGGGCAGGGTGGTTTTTGATTGAAGTTGGCATTACATCGGCTACCAATATAAAAAAGCGTACACCAGATACATTTAGCGACTATTATACAACAATTGATCAGCATTATAGAAAAGAAATCTTAACACAATCGTTGGTCTCGTCGGTTTTCGACACAGTCATCGAAAACTTGTTGTGCTACGAATTCCTGTAATTTAAAAATTCTCTGATCTGCTCGGTTAGCCATTCCACTCCCTCCTGCAGGCCGTCTCCCGTTATAGCGTTGCTCGCAGCTATATGCCAAGGTTTATCCATTATTTTGTCTAACCCTGAAAATTTTTTTTTTTACATCTACTCTACTCGCCTTGCAATTAACAATCCGAAATTATATTGGAGATCAAGATGTATGAGTTACGATATTATATGATAAAAAGTAAATTAGATACAAATGCCATATATTACAATATATATATATATATATATATATATATATATATATATATATATATATATATATATATATATATATATATATATATATATATATATATATATATATATATATATATATATATATATATATATGTAATATATGGAACGCAATTTCTCGAAAATGTAAGGGAAAATATGCCAGAGTGATAACTTTTGTTTTTAGTTTCCTTAAATAATTTTTGGTCTAACTGTTGTGTTGTTTGTAACCCTATATTTAACTAATTTAAGTAGAATCCCATTGAACTTTTGATGCGCAATATCTCTGAAGTTATCCGCTTTTGGATTGTCATAAGCGGCATTATATCGGCATGTTTTGCGCCCAGGCCTATTTCTGCATCTGTTAAACAAGCCAAGTACAACCACGTGATTTTTACCCAAAGCGGCAGCAATCTTCACACTGCTCAAAGCGTCCTTGCAGTCCATCTTGTTCGCAAAAAATAGAATGGGAATTTTCTTTTGACAAATGTCAGGATGCTGCAGAAGAAGATCCAATTCTTCTTTCACCACGACCAGACGAAGGCGGTCGCTACTGTCTATTACAAAAATAATTCCGTGGCAGTCTTTATAGTAATGCTCCCATAAGTCACGATAGCGACCGTGACCTGACATGTCGAATGCAGTAAATGCCAAACTTTTGTCTAAAAAGAATAGAAACATAGGCTAATTTTATTAGTAACCGAATGAATATGAAATAGAAAAATGGTTTTGAAGCTGGCTACATTACAATTTTATTTTTTCTTATGCGTCACCCTCTATGATCTTAGGTAACATTTTTCAAAATCAAACCAAATTCTATTTTAAAATAAACTGTGGCAAATTTTCGATTTGTGCATAAGAAGACACTTCGATCTTAGAAGTGTCAAATATATTGTAGAACTACTACGTTGCGCTCGGACAAAGTCTACTTTCGCTTTCTTTATGGCCGTCTCATATAACTATTAGATAATATAGTGTCCCTATGACGGTAAAAATTGATGCGCCGCAGACAGCCTGGATATTTTCGTAGAAAAGGAAATGATTTTTGAACATGCCTGGACATTTCAATCACTAACAGCGATTTCCACACACTTAATTCGATTTCCCACAACATTTAACGAGATCTAGATATATTTTGAGAAAATACTGCCACAAACAAGACGCATCCCAATTTACTAATAGTCTGTCAGCGGCCATATTGGTTGCTCAATGCCACAAGCTCATTAGCTCATTGCATGTTGAATGAATCTTCTTAAAAAAAAATTCATAGTTGCTTCATAAGTTTCCTGGTATTATCAGCATACTTTAGATTAGGGCCTCTATATTTCTAGTAGCTACATGATATAACCTAAATAGCTGTATGTGTGCTGACCACGATAAATATATAAAAAAAGTAAATTAAGATTACTTAGTAACATTCGTTGATATTTTTGAATATAAATCCAACTACTTTTACTTAAAATTAGAAAAAAAAAACAACTTTAAACGAACAAAAACAAATATAAATGTTATGTAATAAAACGAAAAATACAAACGAAACATAGTTAAATAATCGAAAAATTGCAATAAAGCACTACTTTGGAAAATGGATCACACAAAAAATTTTTTTAAAAAGATTACCAAAAGTTGACAAACGAATCTTCATATTCTGAAAACGTCCTTTAATACTATATTATACAATATTTGCCACTATATTTACCAATTCTTTCTAGACAGATATTTCTTATTTACCTCTCACTAGCACAAATCCCTAATTTCGTTATATCTATCACTTTTAACCCCAAATCAATTATGGTTTTATATATCACAATGTATTATTTTTTTCAATGCCATCTAGGTCGAGATCTAGGTATGTATTTATTGCGACAATGACATCAAAATTAACTCTCCATTAAAAAAGTTTCAAAGTCATTCTTATTCAGAATATTCCAAAACTATATGTGATATATTGAAACCAATTATTGATTGGCACTCCATAATACAGACTGAGGATAAATCACAATCAATTAGGACCTACTTTGAAATTTTTCCACACTAAATCCGACAGTGGGAACAATTTCGCACACTTTGTCATCTTCATTTTTGAAACTGTTCACAATCGTGGATTTGCCGCTGTTATTTAATCCCACAACTAACACATTGACTTCTCTCTTCCGCACTCCTAGGAAATTCGCCAACTTTTGGAACAGGCCCATTGTACATTCTTACCACGATTACTCTATTTTTCTTTTAATGATACGGTTATTAACTATAGAAAGCTATGATATTTCCCGTCCTACCATTGTCCACTGGCAAAGCGAAGAGCAGTTTCCATGGCAACGTAAATAAAAACAGTATAGATGGATAGGTAACAGTTATTCTAGGGGGACAGTGGACAGATATGGAATTTAAAGGTTTGTCGACACAATGTTGCCCGCTGTATATTGCAGTGAAATTTTGATATATCACGAGTTATAAATATGCTGACAAAGAAATCTTAAACATCAAGAATATTTCGAACATCGGAAAATTAAATTAAATTGCCAAAATTTCCATCTTAAATAGAAAAATGTATGTTCTTGCAGATTATTATATCAAATGAAGAAGTTTATCAATGTATTCCAAACTATAATTTTTCTATGATCATTAGCTTTTGAGTATAATGACAAACGTCAAAAACCTATCGAAATCATCCGAGCGCTTCCAAAGCCGCGACTAAAGTACCGGAAACATACGAAACGGAACAGGGCAGTGGGTAAAGAAAATGATGTCTTAAAGTAACAGTTGCCGCAGCCTTTATCCGAAAATATTTGTGTATTTTAAAGCAGGGAATAGAAAAAGTTTTTTTCTAAAAAGGAAGCACCACCAATAAAAAATCACAGTAACTAATATGAAACGAGATTCAATCTCTTATAACTTAGTTAAAGTCAACTAGACATTTTATACGTTTTATTCAATGTGATTTTGAAAAATGTTATTGAAATAATATAAAATTTGGTAAAATTCGTGATAGCGAAACATTACAAAGCATTTCCATATTAGCACAACTGTTACATAAGTAAGAATATTTATTTGAATTTAATATTTTCGAAAAAAAAAACACAGCAGACAAAAAAGGTTCTAAAGAAAACATAAAGCATGTGTGTGAAAAAAAAGATTTATTGACCAAGACTACACTTAACTTGTTTATACATTATAACTCAAGTACAATCACTAAAATAAAATAAGCCATCAAAATCACAGAAACAAGAACAGTGTTGCTACATTTCAGGGAAGATTAAAAATTTAAGATAGCACATTCCTAGTTTTTTATTTTTATTTTCTTCTCTCCTTCATCGTTTACAGCGCATGTTAAGATTTAGCCAGTGAGCAACCTAGTGCTAATTGGTGAGTTTTTTACATTTTTTAAGGCATTGTCCCGAATTGCTGCCGGGAAGTTCAGGACAGGCTTTGTTTGCTCTTGCCAAAAAGGAAAGGTATTGTTTTCTTAGGCCACCTCCTTCCCTCGTCATTATATGCATTGCTTCAGCATAGATGTCAACATGTGTAAATAACTGGCCTTTTTTTTTAACAAAATGCCCTAGGTGGAGGTTGGACAGTGATGCAACAATCAAAATATCGCTGTCTGCAAAACAAGGGTTACAAGAGGTTCTGGCTCCAATAAGGGCTCGCATTATAAGGCTTTGAGTACTACAAAAATAGTATGTTTTAAACCTTTTCGTTTTGGTTACTTCTCTTAGTCTTCTAGCAATAGCTGCTGTAGTAGAGGGTCTCGAGTTTAAGTCTTTGCCTGTACTGTACTGATAGATGAGTATAAAACTTTTCTCGATAACTGCCAAGGTTAATGACTTGGTGTGTGACGTAGGTACTAGGCAAAGATTTCATACATTACGCATAAAATTGTTATGCAGGGGATAAGTGACGTCAGTGCTCGCGCTAAACTGACTAAATACCTCATAGAAAAGAAATTTCTTGGTTTTGGTTGGTAATTATAATGTAAATATATGCTCCATAGAGATGTATGTCCTAAAAAATTAGACAATTTATATTTCTTGTTCCAATAGTTCATTATAGAGAAGCAGACTTTAGAGTGGCAATTAAAAAATGGAAGAAATGGAAAACGTAGTTATGACGGAAAAAATACAGGTAGCAACAAATTCCATAAAAAATTTGGGTACACATTGTTACATTAAATGTGAAATCCAATGCAAAAGAGAAAGAGAACTAAAGTGGGTCGAAAGTTTGTGAAGCTGAACCCCTTCACGCATTATTTTATTTTCACCTTGCCTTTCAAATTAAGTTGCTCTACTGACAAAAGCATTATGCCTTTGCAGGAGAATCCAGCATCTGGTGAAGAAAAAACTTCTCCAGATAATTCAGAATATGATAGTGTAGATAGTTATAGTGATGAAGAGCAAACAGAAAATAAGTCCAGATTTAGAACTGCTCCAGTAGAATCCCGTTCTGAAACTGAAAGCAGTATCATTTTGGAGAGAGAAGAAGGTGATGGACAGGAGAGTGTGCCTGCCAAGAGAATTGATGATGATGAAGATAAGAAAAATCCTCAATATATACCTAAAAGAGGAACTTTTTATGAACATGATGATCGGTGTGCTGAAACGTAAGTGTCATGAAACACAGAGCGAAATTCTCATCACATAATCAAGTTCTTTCTGCTGTTTCATTTTTCACAATCTACACATCTTGTTTTTATTGTTACAAATTCTTAGCTAAAGGATTTCAAATAACATATAGAATGGTATTAGTTTTATTAGTTGAATGCCCAGAATGTAATTGTACAATTTTCTAATAGCTGAATGTTTTTCTGAGTTTTAAAATTGAAGACACAAATTTATTATGTGTATGACATATAACAGCATATATTAACAATATCCAGGGAGGTTGTTGAAACAACTGAAGTGGAAAAAACTGATAAGGATAATAAGAAAAAAGTATGGCAAGAAAAAAAGGAGAAATGGTCTCATGACAGGTTTAATGACAATGAACAAGCTCCAAAAAGTAGAGCTGAATTAATAGCAATATATGGTTATGATATTCGTAATGAAGAAGGTCCACCAAGAGCACGCAGACGAAGGAGATATGGGTATGTGTTTAAAAAACATTCTCCAAAAGATAAAATTATTAGTATTTTCAGTTGCCTCTAACTTAATCATATATGTCTTAGACGTGGTCCAAACAAATATACCCGTAAATGGGAGGACGAAGAGGCTTATTCAAAACCTGTTCCAAAAGTGAAATCCACAACAAGAAAGCAACCTCAACCCAAACAAAATAAAACGGAATTTCCACCATTGGGAGTAAGACAGAATAGAATTCAATCTAGGTCTTCAGAATCAAATGTAGAAGAAGACATTGAAGCAGGAAATATTGGAATGGAATACCGAAGATCTTCTGAAAGGTACCGCTTCTGTTATATTATTACAGAAAATATATAATCTATAAATAAAATTGGTATTAAATTTTTTGAAATATTTCCCTTGTAAAAGCTCTTTATTCTTCTTATTGCAGGTGGAAAACTGAAAACAGTTATTTTGATTTTTTCAATAGGCCTGCTACTTATCTAATCATTGTAATTTTCATTGTAGAGATCAGAAAAACAAACCAGAACAGCCTAGAGAATCAATACATATTGAGCAAAGTCAGATGGTTCATGATTCTCACACAAATAAAGAACAGGTAAAAGCAAGTTCGACTCATTCTATAAAACCTAAAAAGGAAATCAAGGATTCAGATTATAGGTGAGATATTGACAGTAATATTAGATCAGAATTAGGTTTCTGCTCTTACCTACTTGGGCATAGTGTACCAAATATCTTAACCAGATTGTGTTCATATCTTGCTAAGTATAATATAGATTATTTTTTCTACTGTCTGCTAAAATACCCATTTATGCACTGAGCAAGCATACGGAAAGTGTCACTCAAAGAAGTTACCCGCAATCCTAAACTATTTCGGATATACTTTAGTCACGGGTTTGGGAGTGGCCACCTCACATGTCACTCAATGACTGTATTGGTGCTGTTTTGCAGAAATGTACTGAAGAACTAATGGCTGTAGTTACTCATTTATTGAGCACTCTCTCCTCTGCGCTCCACTTATGCCAATTGAAAGTCGTAACTAAAATGGAGTTTACCAAACTTGTTGCACAATATGCTATGAAAACTGTTTAAAAAAAAAAAAAAATTCGCTTCGTATTTAAATTATAGTTGTTATGTTTTCTGGTACTTTTAATTAGAAGAAATCTCAAAAATGCTTCAAACGATTTAAGAATGAGGCTTTATTTTAATAGATGGTAGAAGTAGATGTTTATAAAATTCCTGGTTGTTTGCGGATTTAGGAAATGTTTGGTTTCTTCTACAAATTAAAATTGTAGTTGTTCTATGTAAAAACTTGAGATTCGACAGTTGTCAATTTTTAAGTGCACTTTTTGTTTAAAAAAAAAATCGATTTTTATAAAATTATTAAGGTCTTGAATATTACAATTATTTATTTATATAAATTATATATTATTATTATTATTATTATATAAAGGTTTTAGAATATAAATATATATCATAGACATAGAGTGCCAGAAACATGGTGTTCCAAAAACGTTCCTTTAATTACTAGGACAAATAGGGCCCAAAAATCGTTCTTTAAAAATTATTTCTCAAAAATGTCAAATTCAAATCAAATTAAATACGTTTAATTGGGTCACAAAAGTTACTGCTAATAAAATGTAAATTCAAAATCTGCAGCATTTTTACTTTTTAGTTATTCCTTGAGATAGTTCCTTCTCACCTATGAAAATAATTTTATTCTTGCTGTAACCTCAAATAACAATTCCAACACCAATACTTTTTTGACAATTTTTATGGAAAATTGTTTAAAAACTATTATTTTTGCCCAATAAATTACCATAAAAAAAGTGCGGTGGCAAACTAATTGGCACCCCCTGAGCGACTCTCTTATGGAAAAAAACAATTTTTCTGCAGCAACTTTTATGACCAATCAAAGGTATATCAAAACATGGTTTTATGGCCGGGTTACGTTCCGAGATACACTGGCGTAAAAGGAATACAAATATAAAAGACAATATAAGATTAGGTCCTGAAGGAATGCGTTTTCAGACACTTGTTGAGTAACCAAACCACCGTTATTTTTTAATATTCTATTTATCCTAGAAATTAGCTGAAATCTGCTGAAAATGTGTGACTGCTGTCATTTATAAATCGTTTCAAGAAGTAGTTTTTGAAAAAGGATGTTCTTTAATAGGTTTAATTATAAAAATGTTATTTTTATAATTATAAGTTGAGCCAAATCTAATTTAAGAGAAATTGTCTACTATGAAATCAACACCATTTCGTTATTTGTTTGTGCAGAGGATTTACAGCAAAGACAAAACAACAGCGAGGTGTTCGAAGTGAGCAACAAAAAGTCTTGCCTTCTCGTAACCCGAGAAAAGACTCCACCGAATTTATTCATTCACAGAATTTTACAAATAAAAATGAGATTCTAGTGGAGGAGTTGGAGAAGAATATAAATAATCTAGCGCTACAGGATGGCACTTATAACACTAATAAACACGGTAATAATCAAGGCAGACAGGGTAGTGTACCACCTCGTTTGCAGCAATCAGAACAAAAGGGTCCTAAAAGATACAGCTCTATGCGACAAAGATCTCTGCCAGAAACAGGAACTCCTCCAGTACCTCCCTATTCACATAGTTTTTACCCCAGTGGTAAGTAATGTTTTCTTGGATTGTTAGGCATCCACACTCAAATATATTTTCTTATTAAAAGTGTAATTTTAAATATATTGTGACATTATGCTAGAGAAATTATTCCTAATGTGCCTAAAAACTGACAACTATAGAAATTATTTTCTATTTTTTTTGGTTTTATATTGTGGATGGGGTAAAAGCGGCTCCAGAGAAAAGTGCCAAAAAAGCCGCTTATGCCAACACTCTTGCAAACATATATTTATATACAGACTGTAAAGTGGACCTTCCAAATTGCAATTAATATTATTTTTTTGCATTTAATTTTGTTTGTCCTTTGTCTATACCAAATAATATTTTACGTAGGCATTTCATGCCAGAAATTTTATAGAATGCCCTTGCGATATTAGAAAACCTGGGCATTCTATATAATACCTAATAATTATACCATTCTGAATATAAATCTTTGCTGGTAATATATAAGATTAACTTTATAGGTCGTGATTCTTAGCTTAAGGAGAAAACAAGTGCTGATCAAACCTAAGGTTTAGAAAATAATTTTCCTAGTCTTGTTGACAAACTTAATTTGCAACCAGAGGTACATATTTGTTAACTACTATGGTTGCGCTTAGAAATATTTTAAATTCCACAACATGCAGGATGAATCAAAAAGTATTTCTGCAACGAATTTGTATTAAAATTCGACTTTTGACATTTTTCTTTTGACACCGATAATTACATTAATATTATAACTTCAAAAATAACTTTTAAATTTTAAAGCAACAAACGTGAAAGTTATTCTTGTGGCAAAAATAGGGAATTTTTCTGATACAAACTGGCAAATTCCTATCTTCTTCTTTCTTCAAAGCTAATAGGAATTTTTAATGAACTACAATAGGTGAGCATAATGTTTTTTTAACTTACTGTAGTTTTCTTAATAAGGGTATATGCAAATGCACGAAAGTAGTTTTCAAGTTACCAAACATCCATCTTTTGGCAAAATTAAATTTGTTTGTTGCACATTTTTTAGAAATCCCATATGTTAAAAAGTTTATGTGTATACCGACAATGTAATAGCTGTTGGTATACAAGAGCCAATTGATATATTTTTTAAATAACCTAGCTCGACTATCTCCTTTTGTCAGATTACAACTCAGCAGCTCCTCCACCTCCATCACAGCAACCTATATTACCTCCAACGGCTTTACCACCAAGTATTGTAGCGCAGCAAGTACCTGTTACGGGCACTACCGCAACCGCCTTAATGCGTGCTCCATTTGCTGGATCGCCTTATTCTGCTCAGGCACCTCCGGGTGCATTTATACAGGCTCCAACACCTGCCTTTATACCAGCCCCCCAGCAGGCTCAAATTGTAAGTTACGTGACACAAGCTCAACCAGGGTTTGGAGCAGCAGGATATCAAGGATTCCAGCAACAGTTTAATACTGTGGTAAGCATAATTTTTGCAAATATTTTGAAAAATTTTTTCAGTTAAAACAATAGATATAATTAAATAGTCTCAAAAATCTCAATACTTGGATACTTATTTTATGTATGATTGATGGTTAGTATTTTTCACCTATGTAATAGTAGTTGTAATACCCCAAAATTGCTGTTGGATTACGCTGGTGGACAAAATGTAATGTTGCAGAGCCCGCCTGCCGAACTATACCAACCACAAGTAGGGATAACCTATTATTCAACAGATCAGCAAATTCCTCAACGATCTGTGCCTCAGAAGCGACCAAAAGCCGCGATTCCTATAGTAGATCCTACAGAGGTCCATGAAAAACATAAAGAAATTGATGAATTTGTTGAACATCATGGTGGTTCAGTTATGAATCTTATTGAAACCAACATCCAAGACAGAAACCACAAACCGCAAGGCTTTTCTGAAGTAAATGATTAAGAATGACTGCTTGTGACATTGATCCTAAAATATGCCCATTTATTTATTGTTTAATTTATTTTTGAAGCTCTTCTTGGTGGTAACTATATGCTTATTTTGTATAATCTTTGCAACACGGAAGATAAAACAATAGTTGTGATGGCGTTATAAGCAACAAGCCTTCTGAACTATTAACTGTTAATCATTTCCTCAAAATTAAGTCTCACTACTCAATATATAGTTACCTATGAATTTTGTTCCAGCATTCTTAGAAGGAAAAAGTAATATATATACACTTTACATCACTTTGTGTGCAAGTCGTTATTTAGGAGTAAAAAATTATCAAGGTTGAAATGAAAATAAGTTAACTTACAATTTAATTAATATTTACAAAAAATACATTATAATTTTAGTGTAAATTTGTCAAAAGTTAATGCTATCAATATACAATATTCTTATTCAAACTTGGTTTTTAAGAAAACTGAATTTAACTGAAAACAAGGTAGTGTTTAGTTTACTGAACCAACACTTTGTTGGTTTAATTGGTTGTATATCACCTAATGCTACAATAGTCATGTTGGATATTATAATCAAATATATTTCATATATATTCATTTATTTCCTGATGTTTGACTAATACTTCTGAAGTACCTATTTGATATTAAGGGAGCTTATGCTCAAATTTGCCTGAATATATTACATACAGTACACACAAACCTCCATGGCCTGTCAAAAATACACGGATAATTCTCAGAATGAAAGCGAGATGGAAAATGTTATATTATTGCCAATTAGTAGTTCCACAAATAACGGTAAAGTTTAATTAATATACGTAGGAGGTAAAAAGAGATTTTTGTTGTATTTTCGTGAAGCTATTGTAATAAGAAGAATTACTACGTTTACGTCTGGAATTTAATCCAGGTCAAACTGATATTAGATTTATATTGATATAATGCACAGGTTTCGATCTTGAAATTTTTTTTTTTTAAATTTAGATTAGGTAAATAGATGTAATATCTCTTCCACAAAGAATTTAACGAAAATACTGCTCAAAACTGCCATATCTAAATTGTCGAATAATCTACTTACTCGTAAAGAATGCCTTTTCTCTTCCGTGTTTGCGATTACGGATTCGGCCGATCATATTTATAACATGGAAAATATGGAAAGGATGGTTGCAATAATTTTATAATTTTTAACTGGTGCTTGCTTATCGAAATTTTTAGTGTATCAATTTTCATTGGCGGAAGGTGTACTACAAAGTGATGTTACATAATAATAGCACCTTAGAAAGCAATTATTTATTTGGACACTTAAGTTATTGGACTGTATACTGTAACACAGACACTTTACTTTTTTTTTAGTACTCAAAAAGTAAGGTTTATTATACTATGCTACCGTAACTCCAAATTAATCCTGATTTTTAGATTTAGATCTTGTTTTAAAAATTCTTCATTAATACTAGTGAACTAATTCTCTGGTCTTCAAGCATCACTCTAGAAACAAAAATAATCTGCTTTAATGTACAATTTTCTTAAAATTGAAGCTTAAACTTAAAACTTGCTGTTAAAATATCCATTTTTGACTATAAAGTCTTACTAAATAGAACTCAATGCAAAAAGTTTGTAAGCCATTGATTTATCAAACCAAAAATAAGACAAAACTGGTTCGAAATTTCGCGTTTTAGACAGATTTATCGACTAGTTTCCACCGAGCTTGCAACCGGTTGCCAATTTTGCTGTGCGAATGCAGCTAATTAGACTATTTAGATGAAATTTCGGTTTGTATTCACTTTATAGCCAAATAACACCCAATTGGTATTCAGTTATCAAACAGCAACAAATTTCGTATGTACATTTATTAAGTTTGTCATGCTAGAAACAATGTTTACATCAAAGTTACTAAAATGTATTATCACAGAATCAGTGAACATCACTCACGCCTACCTAAAATAAAAACACCCGTAAACGTAACAGAAACAGTAAAAAATTAACATTAAATTCGGTTTAAGCTATACGGACTTTACCCAATTTTCGTAAATAAGTTAAGACTTTCGACTCAAAAAAGTCAAACCATAATGATATAATACTATGTAATAATATTAACCATTTATATTGAAAAAATCCATGCTACTTCTATGCCTTTGATTTTCCCTTTCATATTTCCCATCACAGCTTGCCTTCTGATTTGACAACTTCTTCAGTATTCTTTCTTTAAATATATTTTAATTCTCTCAAATATTTTAACTTAAAAGTACGGTAATGTTAATACGAAGAAGTTCCACACAGCAGATCCAATTTTGTTTTTTTAAAGTTTCTCGATTACAAGACTTTTCACTGACAACTGCCGCACTTGAGTTAATAACATAAAACAACATAACATACATCAAAAGAAAAAAATTGCCTTTTCAATATGTTCAATGTTTAGTCCAATTTTTAATTTATTTTCTTATAAATATTAGATCAGCAGTAAGCGCAGTCTTTGAAAGTTTCAACTATCATCTTACTGAAAGAAAGAAAAAACTTAAACACTTAACATTAGCACATTAGCCTAAAACAATTAACAAAATTTAGTATCCTTAAAAAAGCGATAAGAAACGTAAAAACCATTCTTTTTAAGAAAATGTGTAAAGTTATTTTAAATTCCTTTCCTTATGGATTTTTGCTACCGAAAATCATTAATAACAATTGAAAGCTTCTTAATAGCAGTTCTTAATGTTGTAGCATCCTCTTCGGTGGTCACATATTGAGCCAGCAAATCCTGTCTCACCTGTTCCAAATTATTCAGCTCAATCTGTCCTTTTAGAATTTGCTCCTTCATTTTTGTTTGATATTTTTTCAGTTGTTCAATTTCACTCGTTCGTTCTAAAAAAAAATAAATCCTGGATCACGGGGTCCCAAAAATTATTCATCTACCAGATGAATTTACGGTTTTGTTGGTAATAACATTGACACTAGGACAATTTTTAATTTTTCCCATTTAAAAACAGTAAATCAACCATTTAAAAACGTACTATAAAAGCTAATAATATAATAACAGAATTTATGTGATTCGAATGTATGTATATTCCACATTATCAAATTCTTAATTTCCTTGTTTTCTACTCCATATATTTCATCAGAAATAAAAAAATCAGATAACGTTAATAAGCTTCAAGAAGCTGAGTTTTTAGAGAATTGCCGTGTTTTAAATCCTATTAAACCCCACTTTGCCTTATTCCCAAGAACAATAATATGGATTTCAACAAAACAACTAACCTTTATCAAATGTTTGATACGAATCTATAACCTCTAACAATCCTGGCCATCTAATTTTTTCAGAATTTTCAATTTTTATAGTGTCGTCAGCTCCCACCTTGTCAATCTCCTCCTTAATTGATTTACTGAAATTAGGAATTTTAAACAATGCATCATTGTTACTAATAGTATAATCCACGGTATAGGTAGACTGCAAAGGTTTAAAATTTAATACTTTTAAACTGTACTTGGTTAAAGAAGATTCACAACATCTTTTTAATCTCTCTTTTACAATTTCAAGCCATATCTTCTCCATTTCTGCAATAAATTAATTAATCACCATTAATTACTTAAGGCTTGTGATTGAGCAAATAGAATTTTTGTTTGTATCTAATTCTTTTACCTTGACGAAGTTGATGTGGCACTTTCCTTAAACCCAATAACTGCAAAAAGTGGCTTTTAAGCTTATAGTCGGGCATTAAATTCAGTACCGACGGCGATTTTAAAGGCACTGGGAGGTTAAGAGGCAGTAATTTTTTCTCATCACTTTCCGTTTCGATAGTTAAAGGTGCAAAACAATGTTTCTTTTCGATTCTTTGTACTTCCAGTGCTAAAATTTTTTGTGAACTTAAATAGCAGAAATTGTTTTCTTAACTTACTGTTTCTTCTACAGTGAGTAGTTAATTCAAATAAGCTCAAAAAATCTAATTTTGTTGAACTTAAATCTGGTTTCAATGGAGGACCCGACCTTATCCACAAATCGTAAGGTGGCTCCTCTCTGTCACTGTCTGAACTTGTCCCTGAGCTACTTAAAACATCATCAGACAAATTTAACATTGTCCCATAAGTTCCATTAAGAGCATTCTAAAAAATATTAACAATCCTAAAAATGTTTTTTGAGCCATTTAAAATAAAAAGTCAATGCAAATGTTAAACGAAATTACATTATTCGCACAAAATCATAAAAATAAATAAGAGTTAGTACCGATAATAATAAATTTCAGTGAACTAGTTAATTCACTTACCTTTCTGTTAGTAATTTTGGAAAGTTTTTTCTGCCTTCTAGCCTTTCGTCTTAAAATTGCTATGTCGATTTTACTTAACTTAGGCCTTTTTGAAAGTTGCAAGTTAGACACGGAAATGGCAAAATTAGGAATATTCAATATTGTAGAAGACTGTGTTAAAACACTTTCGGGCTGCCGGCGTTTTAAAACTCCTTGAAGTGGCTTCGTTGGTGGTACTTTTGGAACGACAATAACAGATTTGACTTCTACATTAGTAGCTTCTACAATAACATTTATGTACTTATATGTAATAACATATCCGTTTGTGAAAACACCTACTGCTTGTTTGGGTTTCATTATCCAGATTTTCACATAACTTCCTATCATGCATTGCACTGTTACAATCCACAGCGAGACTTTTTGATAAAGTAACATCTGGTTTATGACAACCACTGGCTTCCATTTGTGATATGATAGGGGCATTGGGTGTTTCTGGCGACGCCATGGGCAAAACGGGGTTTTGCACTTGAAAATTGGCAATAACATTCATTAATGGTGTATGAACATGTTTTACTTCAAGCCCTTTGTCAGCACACGCAAATACATTGTTGACGCGAGTTTCCGATGATTCACTAAAAAGTTCCTCTACTGAAGCTTTAGAAGATATTGGTGGATCTTTTAGATGCTGGTCTTTTGTATCATGGTCCAAACCATCTTTGGGTGACAGCTGCGTTTTAAAATTCTCAGATAGTAGCACTTCCACATTAGATAAATCTTTTACTGCAGTTGAAGTCGTTTTCAAAATATGTTTTGATTCTCTTACTAAAGCATTATCATTCAAATGGCACTTGGTAACGTAGTCACCTTTTGAACTAATATGCTGCGCCTCACTTGCCGTTAGAACCACACTTTTTTTATTGTTTGAAAAAAATTCCACATCTTTTACCAAATTGTCAATGTAATGAGGAGTTATTTTTAAATTACCATCACCTTTGGATGCACTATCCTTTCCACATTCACTTGTTTGGATTTTTGGAATGGGAGACGTAATTAACGAAGACTTCCAAGATTTCTGTTGAATGACAGTGGGGATTTGGGAGTGATGTTTTAATGGGAATGCTTTGATTAAATTTGGTTTTTCATTAGTAACGGTGAACTTGGAAATTAGTTGTGGCTTCCTAGCTGAAACAAGAAAAAAGATTGTCAATTTAATAAGGATATAAATATCTCTACTAGAAAAAGTTGTTAAACCTAAATATGAAAAAACTGTTTATAATTCTTGAATGGTATGAATTGTGAAGAAAAATAGAAGTTTCGCCTAGAAAGAAACTAAACGGATACTATACTATTACTATATCGCCTGGAAAAGCATAATTATACACCCATGTAACTCAAACCCAAACAACTTCCTACCAAGTGTTTTTCTATGAAACTTCTTTCCAAATTGACCTAAAAGCAATTAATGTTGCTGACCAAGCGAAAATATAGAATAGAAACGTTTTATACATATGAAAAAGGGGTCGCCCCCCTTGAATGCCAATACTAATACATATGAAAAAATCCACAACAGCAAAACGCGGGGTTAAGGAGAAACAAAATTACAAAATTACGACCTTATTTATAATTTAAAATTTTACATTAATATTGCATCAGATCATCAAATCTGATATTATTTATTAGACCGATAAAAATGAAAAATGAAAAAACGATGATTTTTAATGAAATATGTGCTGAAATAACTTGTTAGTGAATGAGGTGTTAATGTAAATGCATGTAACAAACAAGGAAGAAAGCTCAAAGCCCGGTTAAGCGGGTAAACAAACAAAAATCAATCAAATTCTTAGTAGTTATAAACTAATACTGACTGTAAAATAGATTAGTGTTTTTGGAGACCTCAAAAACAAGTAGTCATACAAGTTAACGAAAAAAAATCCAGTTTACGAATGTTGAATCAAACTCAGGCCACTAATTCCCAAGAGACTCCCCTGTGACCTATTCAAGAGCATATATTCCATTAGCTTGTCATGAAAATCACAATGTACCATAAGGCTACATTTCCTATACCTATCTTTACCAACTTGATGGTATACTATTTATCATCCATCATGTTTTAGTGTTATTTGAATCACTACTTGCACTTCCTGAAAAACTTGCAACTTTCGAAATTTTGTTTGTTCACTTATTGAAATTTGGACTAAATTGCTGTATTAGGCCAAGTTACTTTGCTGGATTTTCACCCCTACTAATAATCCCAGTCAGTTTACATTTTCCTGAAAATGGCTTAATAAGAAATATTATTACCTGCGACAAAAAGGCATTATTGTTACTGTTTTCATAATTTTATTAGAATTATATGTTGTCTCCTGCTGTGAAAGACTTGAGAAAATTTTATCAATGCGCTTAAACAATAAAAATGGAATTTTTAACAAAATGGTCGACTAATTTGACATAATTAAAATAAATTAAACCTTGCTAGTTCGCGCGCCATTTCATTTCCAAAAATTTACAGATTTTACACTGCTATTGAAAATTGAAAGTTTTTTGATAAATATGACCAACAAATTTAAAGTCGGCTTAAGCTTCAACTAATCACAATTTGAGTTTTTAAATTTGTAAGTACAGGTATAAGAATCTAATCTGAAACTGGGGAAATGGGGAAAAAAAATGTTTTAGCGGATGTTTTAGCGGATGCCTTGCGATAGGCGCCTTTATCACATCCTAATTATGGCCCTCACAAATAATATTTAAAGTCAAATCAAATACCTAAAAAGTATCTTCAAAATTTTCACCACAGATGTTTTTTTATCAGATCTTATTCGAAGAACGTTATAACTCCTCAATCGAATAAAACCTTGATATTATTAGTAATCCACAAGAATTTGGAAAACCAACAACACAATTAATTACCGAAACACAAAGGATCTCGGGAGGATGATTGGCAAACGGCAAGCGAGGCGGAAGGTCAGGCACAGTCCTCATTGCTCGCCTCACCTGCGACGGTCTGTGAGGCAACCGGAGCAGCTATCAGTGTCGTTCGGTCTGCGCCTAATATTGCTTCTTTTGACGAGAGATTGGACGCTGTGTTAGCTGTTGATGGGGAGGTTAACTTTGGTGTGGGCGGCTTGGAAGATAACGATGATGGACCGCCAATACCCGAATGACTAGAAGTGGGTGCACATGTTGCCGCAGGTCCAGAATTATTTATTAACGGCCCTGAAGGCTGAAGAACTGTAGGTGACTGGCGATGAGGTGCAGTTAAATTGAGGGACGAGTAGCCAGGCTGCGTAACTGATGAAGGACCATGACTACCCATTGACGATTGGCGTTGCAGTGAAGGCGATGACCTAGAAGTAACATCAATAAGTTAAACAACGTGTTTAATTTCACTTTCAGCAATATAGAGTGTTTAAGGTCTTCTTAAGGAGCTTAAAATTTACTAACAAATCAATTTCAAAAACGTGGTATAAACTTTAGCAAATAGGAGATGACATGACCATGCAATGGAATATGAGGAATAAGTTATCTCATCTTTTGGACAACATTCATATGGTATCTGACTTATTTATGGTTAATTACCACAAAAGTCATGATTAATCTGAACAAAAATAGTAATTTCTATTACTTATGGAAAATAATAATACTTATCACTTAAATAATGGGTGTTTTTTTTCGATGTATAGAACATCTTGGCATTACTGTCCAAGATGGCGACCGATTTAACAGCTGTCAAGTGATTTATTCTCAGTTTGGTTTGGCAATTCATCATGAATAGACTCACGCCTGAACAACGCTTGCAAATAGTGCAATTGTATTTCGAAAATAATGGTTATGTGCGGAATACGTATCGCGCACTACGTCCATTTTATCGTCGACAAAATCGTCCATCAGAGCAGTCAATTCGATTAACCATGGAACGTTTATATTTTATTGATAACTCGCATCCCCTGCTGTAGAGCGTAGCATTGAGGAAGACCCGAATGAGTCCATCCGCCATCAAGCACAGGAATTGGATCTGTGTCCATCCACTTTATGGAAGATTTTGCGGAAGGATCTTGGTTTACTTGCTTACAAAATCCAACTCGTGCAAGAATTGAAGCCAAACGATCATCAAGTAAGGCGTAGATTCGTCGAAAGGGCCCAAAACGAGATTGCCGTTGTTCCCGATTTTCATTAGCGAATTTTGTTTAGCGATAAAACGCACTTCTGGTTGAATAGCTAAGTCAACAAACAAAACTGCCGCATTTCGAGCGAAGCTAATCCTCCAGTGTATGACGAAACACCGTTATATCCAGAAAAACTGACTGTTTGGTGCGCTTTAAGGGCTGGTGGAATCATTGGTCAGTACTTCTTCAAAAACGATGATGGTCAGAACGTTACAGTCAATGGTGATTGGTATAGAGCTATGATTACTAACTCTTTCATTCCTGAATTGAATAACCATGATGTCCAGGTGATGTGGTTTCAATAAGACAGCTCGTGCCACAACCGATTTATTGAAAGACACGTTTGGTGACCGCCTAATTTCACGTTTTGGACCTGTGAATTGGCCTCCAAGATTTGATTTAACGCCGCTAGACTACTTTCTGTGGGGCTATGTAAAGTCACTGGTCTATGCGGATAAGCCACAAACGCTTGACCATTTGGAAGACAACATTCGCCGTGTTATTGCCGATATACGGCCACAAATGTTGGAAAAAGTCATCGAAAATTGGACGTCCAGATTGAACTACATCCGCGCCAGCCGTGGCGGTCATATGCCAGAAATCATATTTAAAATGTAATGCCACAAGATTATCTTTCAGATAAATAAAATTCATGCGAATCGAATAATCCATCGTTGATTTATTGCAACTTAAAGTTCTATACATCGAAAAAAAAAAACCCTTAAAATAAAACTCGCTTCTCAATAAAAAAAAAGGTAAATCCAGTTATCAAACACGATTTAATAGATAGTTTCATTGTTTGATTAAATCAAAACAATTTTCATTTTAATGGAAAAATCTATATTTCTAAAAGGTTGGTAAAGGGAAATCTACTTGCAGAGATTTTTATTGAACATTATACAAAAACATCCCTTGGGAAAAAACTTCCTTTGATGGTATAGATACATAGATAACATTTTTGCTTGTTTTATTGGAACTGATATTTCATTAAGCATGTTTTTGAACATATTAATTCGATGCATAATTGAATAAATTTCACTGTTTAGATTGAACAAACTAATTCTATTAAATTTTTACATTTAATGATAATTAAGACACAAACCAAATTGGATTTTTCCATAACTGCTACACATAAAAAATAGCTGCTTTTCATTCTTTTGCCCACAGACTTGTTAATACGCCACTTTCACAAATAAAAAAACAAATATGCACATTTGAAAATCTGAACAACTTTGTGTTCCTATTTAATTATTTATTTCTAGTTGCATATAATATACATTTTTATTTGAACAAACACTGAAGATGAAATTTCAGAGTTAGCTATCTTACTTGAAATGAATATTGATGCCAGTTCCATTTCCACTTTAGGACAAATTGGTGCCGACTCTCTACTTGGAGAATTATCGGAATCCGCATTTATAGTTTTTGTTAGGATGGCAGACAAAATGATTGGCTTACCTAGGTACAGACGGAAAGCCCTGAGGAGGAATCACCCCACTACTTGGGGTTAGAAATCCCGCTGTTCCAAGTGGAGAGTGTCTAGTAGTCGCGGCCGCTAAACTAAGCGGCGAAGGAGGTAACATGCTTGCTCCCGTCGCGGGATGCAACATTGGCAACACTAAATGCGACGCAGGTGCAATGTGGGCGGCCGATGACGCACCTCCATGTGGGGAAACCCTCCGGGCCGCGTCAGCTACTTTCTGCGCGGACCGTTCTTTCTCTCGTTCACGTTCAATGAGCTCACGCTCTAGTTCCGCATCTTTCGAACGAGCGACAGCAGCTGCTGCGAGACGGTGACGGTGTTCTTCCTCTAACTTCAACCTAAAAATATCATAGTTGAAACCATATTAATCAACTATAATTGTTAGTTATTTTGTTAAAAATAAAAATAATAATAATAAAACAGGTTTTGCCCACCTTTCATGTACATACAGCGGCATGTGGGCACCTGGAATCATGTAAGGAAGATACGGGTGACCGATGGGCGCCCAGGGCGGCCTCAACATTCGTTCATAGTAAAGTTGATCTTCCATTAGAGGAAGTGGTGGATATGCACCATAAGATGAGTAGCTAGCTACATCTAACCCAACCGGTACAGGGCCTATCCTATAAACATCAAAATAAAAATGGCGTTAACACCTTTTTACTTGTAAAAATATAGCAGCTTACCTATGGTCTTCGGGTCTGTAGGGCTGGAAACCACTCCTACCAATGTCATTAATTCCTGGATGTGAATACCGATCAACAGGATTGTTTGCCAGACGAGACTCGGGTGGTCTACTTCCAGTAGAGCCATAGATCTGAGCATCTACCCTGTCTTTTGACTTGTCTGGTATTGGTACACTAGCGGCCACTTTAAAGTTAATTAAATATTGGAAACGGCCAAATTAAAAAATTTAATTTTTTACCTGATTCTCTACTCCTATGCGCTGGCACGGGTTCAACTTGTTGTTCAGTTGTTCCAGTTGTGGGTACATTCTGCTGAGCTAAACTTTTTAAGGCTGCGGCAAACGAATGGTAAGAATATTGCTGAGCGGGGGTGTTCTGTACAGAAACCGCAGGACCGCCACTGTGCCCGGCAACAGTATGCCCTGAGGAAGATCTTGGTTTTGAATTTCCAGATGCTTGTAACGTTGTTGGTGAAGGCACACCGACTATGACACCGTTTGTGGTTGAAGAAGTCACGATAGAAACAGTTGGTTGTTTGGGACTATTAGGCACACCTACACAAAAGATATGATGTAGTGTTACTGGCTGAAGGCATTTTTGTTTTCAGAATATTTATTTCCAACAGGAAAACCAAATGTCACCATTTTGGTAGTTGAGAAAATTCCTAATCGTTGAGAGATAACAGAACTGCAATTGTGATAATATGGGTTATATTGCTTCTAGGAACAGTAAGGTACCACAGAACTTTAAATATTTTCTTTGAATTTGTTATAAATTATTGGTGGCCATAGTTACCAAAACACTCATTATCTATCATACTGAGTTCGGTTTTAATGAAAAGGTATGACACGATAGAAGTTAGTTCATGCAACAGCAACAACATATATTAAATGATTTTGACTTCTCAGCAAGTATCCAAAAAGTTACACTTTAATTTAAGAGTTAAATGTTGTTTCTTTTTACGTCCAGTTTAGCTAATAAATTTTAAAATTCTAAATGATTTTTTGCAGTAAAAATAACTGCTAAAGTTTATTTCATAAAGGAGTTGAGTAATAAAACCCCATTAGTTATGCGAGTGACCGAACGAATAGTCAAGCTCTATATATTGTTATAAAATTCTTTTTATCGAATACAGATAGTACCATCCGGGTTTCTCCAATTTATGAACTGTTTCAATTGTTATCCATTAACCAACACTGAAAATGGCGCCCTGGTAGGATTCTCATAAGTCAGGAATTTTATTTTTATACAATAAAAATGTGATATGTGTGTAATATTAAGTACCCTGGGCTTGGTAAAACCGTAACTTAAGGTTCGTTTTCAATATCGTGTTGTGTCTTGTATGAACACTAAATTTTTCTGCCATACTTTTCACGTCGTATTTCATAAAACGATATTCGTATTAATATGACATATTTAATAGCTCAAATTCAATGAAAAGTTGGATAACCAGTTGGATATTTCTTGTTTTCCCGAAGATGAAGTTGAATTCTTCTCTATCCGTTATTCATAATTACTAATAATTTAGCAGGAAGATATTTTATCATTTCTCCAAAATAGTTTCCAAAAACACCCGAATATGGAGTCTCTTTTCTTGAAGCACACCTTAGTGCAGGTTGCCTTAATTTTTAATTTTAATTAATTTAATTAAATAATAATTTTAATTAAGTTGTCACTAAAGAGTCATTCATTTTCTTTTACTCCGTCATAAACGAATACTAAACGGCACTCTTTCAGGTAGGATGGTAAGTGGTCATAAATGATATCAAAGCCTATTTATTAGTATCGGAGTCACAATAGGAATCAAACATAATTTTACTGAACATAAAGCCGACACCGAAATTGAATGGAGCTGGTGGAAATTTCCCATTTTATTACTCTACACTTTTATGAAATAGCTATAATACATGTATAAATTGCATTGCGTCTACCCGACTTAAGTAAGCGACGCATTGCACCGTTAGATTCCTGAATTTGCTAAAACCTTACCTTCAACAGAACCTTGCTTCTGTTGACAATAGTGGTAGTATGGATGAGTGCGAGTTAAAATCTGCGAATATTTAAACTCCATCACTTATCCACTTTTAAACTGTCGAACTTACATTTTTGAATTATCGATCCAACTTCATTCTAGTGGCTTTAAAAATGAACGAATGCCGAATATTATTATTCTGATTCTATTAGCGTCTAAAAAAAATACTTCATCAGTATTTCCATTCTATATCATTACTTAAACTATTATTTATTCAGATCACCTGCTAAAATTTCAATGAAAATAACAAAATTTCGAATAACGCATCAATTCACATTTTGTACACGTTTACATTTATTAACAGTAGTAAAAAGGCAAAACATTCAAATTTTCTTCAAAGGCCAGTTTTCTGTAGGCCATTAAAATTATACTGGAATATTTTTTCCAATTATTTCACAATTGTCCAATTCAGATTTGACAATATTTCTGTAGGCATAACTTATTAAAATATAAATGTAAACCACAAAATAATTTAACGAAAAACGAGGAAAAAAACAATCGGTTCGCGGCACTAGCACGAAAAACGAGACTGACAAATCGTTTGGGCGTGTTTACGTTGACGCGTGCATGTGTGACCCCGCCGAATTTAGAAAACAAAACGATTTATCGACAACCGCCCACACGGAGACGAACGGACTGCAATAACGCACACTTGATTTCCACCGCGCGCCGACAGCGATGACGGGTTGCCAAGAGTTCCGCCGGAAGAGAGATATGTTAAGGGTGATTGTAATTCGCCAGGGTCGGACAAAGTCTACATGCCCCACGAAAATCGGAACTTTTTGTACCTCTTATGAAATTTCCCCCTTGTTCGAATCACTTGACTTGACGCCTGAACAAGCAGAAAATCGTGGTCTTAATTGGAGATGGGCGCTCGCAGCAATATGTTTCTGAAGTTATGAGAATCAACCAATATACCGTTCCTTAACTGTTAAGAAGATTTAGACAAATTGGAAGCTACAATAGAAGATCAGTTCCAGGACGTCCCAGGTGCATCAACCCTGTAGAAGGCCGCTATTTACATTTGCAAAATTTACGAACACTTCATGTTACAGCCAAGCAGCTGTATACTGCTCTCTCAAGGGTCAGAATACCGTTAATGTCCAATAGAGTTGTTAGGATCAGAAGTGGCAATACTAGATAAAGAATTGCTAAAATTATCTTTGAAATTTGTTAGTTTGTTACTTTACATTTTTATTTTATTCTTTTCGAATAAATGTTATATTCATTATTTTTGCCCATTTTGAATTTTCCTTTTAATGAAATCAGCCGTTATTAAACATTAAACATACAAAAAATTTTTAAACAGGTTTAAATATTAACAAGAAAAACGTTTGGGAATATTGCATTGCGATATTTTTTGTGGCGGGTTTATTTGCTATTTTCCAAACGTATCATGACAACTTCTTCCGCAGTATGTAGCATTGAACTTTATCGGTTACCAAGGGAAAACGTTATTTCTCATAAAGTGGGCACGCTTCAAATAAGGGATAAAGTAAAACAACGCCACTTTTTGCGCCACTTATTTTAGTGTTGTTTTACTTTATCCCTTATTTGAAGCGTGCACACTTGAAGAGAAATAATGCGTTTAAATGATACTGCAAACAAATGTAAAAAGTAAAAAACCCTACGCGAAATGACAAATTTACTGAAATTAGGGCGGATTTATATTTTTCTAAAATCCGCCCCTGCTCGGCTTTGCTTTTTTATTCGAGGGGGGTTTTCAGTCGTGCATTCCCCGACCAAGAGACGAGATAAACGTCTTTATTTACCCACTTCCGCCGGGGTAAGCATTTTGCCCCGATCGGGCCACGATTAACATGTCAATAGTGGACGCGATGAATATTGACGGCAGTTGGGATAACAGGTATCGCATAATAGGTTATTTGACAGATTTCTGAAAGAATCTCTTATTATTTTGTGTTGATTGTGGAACTCACAAAAGGTGGTTAATTTGAATTATTTTACGTACTTCTGAAAAAACAAATAACCTTTATGAAAAGTAGAGAAAAGGTTATTTATAACGTTATAAAACAGTTAATAAATATCAAACGATAAACATAAGAACAAGGTCACTGTAATTTAACTTGCAAAATGTACGGTATGTTCTGTCTTGGCTTTGACTGCAATTATCGAAATAACCTGTACACACATTCTTGGACAAAGCATCACGAACGGACTTTTAAGGTGTTTTCAAAATTTAAAGATTAAATATTATGTTTATTCAGGCATAATAAAATCACATATTAGAGATAGAAAATACGATAACACTAAATATATACTAATTTTCAATAATTACCTACATAAGCATGTTTTTATTCAAAATTCAATTCTTCATTTCTTTTTAATGTGCTCTACTACATATTTCCAGATCTGAACAGGTATGGATCACTACTTTTTTTGACGATATTAGATAGTAGGCAGTACTGCCACTGATATCAATCGACACGTGCTCGATAACTATCTGACTTGCACCTGTCTGGTCTCTTACCTATTAATAAATTACGAGTGACTTTTACCGAACGAACGTGTTGCATACTATACTTTTTCTACGACCGTTAGTTTTTGGGTACATTTTTGCAAAACAACGAGAATACATTCACTAACATGACCGTCAGAATTGATAAACGTCAAAATACAAGGCTTGAGAAATATCTCCGAAAATATCCGATTGCTCCCAAATCCGTGCGGTAAAATCCCGGAAATGTCCGAAGTATCTCGGATTCGTGGTAAACGAAACGTGGTAAGTGACGTTTCCCGCACGCTAGATCGGTGTGTAATTAGGTATTTTACAGACGGGGGTAGAAAAACATAATTTTTAAATCAGGGACATTATTTTAACTTCTTGTGCTTGACGGTTAGCAAAAAAAGTAGTTGTGGCGGGAAACGAATTTCTTCCAAAACTACCATTTTCTATAAACTCGAAAACAATCTAAACTATTAAAAATTTCTAGCGAAAGTAAAAGTGAGTATTAATGTGTCGAACAGGATAGTTAACTGTGGCTATTTACATTGCATAATTCACAAATACTCTCACAACACATTTTTTACTGTATGATAAAAACAATTATTCTACAACGTTCGCCAAGAACTAACCAACAGTTGTTTTCAAATTAATAATTTGAACATACAAGAATTATTTTCGTTACCTTTTCTCTGGTCTTGGAAATAATACGCCTAATCGTCTGAAAACTAACCAAAACTACGCAGACTTTTATAATTAATTTCACACAGTGCGGATTTCGGAGTAGGTTTATTTACACAAAAATATCTCAAAAATCAGTTATTTTCTTGGGGCTAGCAAACTATTGGTTAAAATAAGAAATATGGCAAACAAAGAAATATTAATTTTTAGTGACCGTCCCTACCACAAAAGCAGATAAAATCACAAAGGCTTAGAAAAAAACGTTTTACTCTATTGTAAGTACTTTAAGCAAATTTTAATAGTTATGCAGAAAAAAATGTTACATATAACCGATTTATTGCTTAAAGATTCAGGGTTATTTATGGAAACCGACAGCCTAGTTGCCGTTTACACAGACAGGGTTAGTTCTAAAATATCAATGTCTGTTATCTCAGGTATACTGAAATAGGCGATTTCATTTTTATAAAAATCAAAGCTTACATAGTTTTTTTGTATAACAAAATGAGTAGTAAAAGGAAATGCGTCATACAGATGTCATTTTTGCAATTTGGCGGCGCGAGCGGCAAAGGTGTAATTCGGAATAAGCACACCGAAATTTACAGCAGTAGCTGCTAAATTGTCACTAAAATGGTAGGAAGATAATATTGATTTTCTTTAAAGAATAATAGGTGTTCATTGAAAACTATTTATTTTAAAAATTAAACTAAAAATAGAATGTCAGCAATTAAACAACCTAAAATCGCAATATTTTAAAATAATTATAGCCTCAATTACTGCTTTTTACCTCCTTATCTGTAGGCGCATTTGGTTTACTTCAATAACTTTATTTTTGAAGCAGCTATTATTTTATTAAAAGGCCATTACAGAATTATTTTAAAAAAATCTAAACAATTAAAAATATGTAATACGTAAAACGTTCACAAACATCTACAAAAACTTGATGTCTGAGCAATTGACAAATGAGAATTTTCCGACTTTTCCTGACTAGAGGTGCCATTTCCCCGGGTAGAATTTAATAAATCAAGTACAAAATAAAAACAAAAACTTTTAGCAAGTTTCACGACTTTCGGCAAAAAAATAATTTTGCGAATTTTAAGTCTTAAAAAAAATTGTTAAAAATCCGTCAGAAATAGAAACGATGCGTGATAAAAAAAGGTCTTGGTTTCCATTAGTTACCTTACCCCGCACCAAGGGAAATTTTGATAAGAATGACAAATACGTTTATTAAATAAGAGTGAAAAGTTTAAAAACATACAGGACATACCAGGACACTTTAGGAACACTTCCATCCAGATCACCCTGAATAATAAACAGTTTTCTTTTGGCATTTTACATCTCAAGCTACTGAAATTAAATATTTTTTCCATTAAGAAAAAGGATGACTGTTTAAATGCTAAAATAATTGTTTTAATTATTGCATTTTTTATCATTTCTAAATTAAATGAAAAACATTTTTTTTGCTTCTGCGCTATATTTATTGCGCAGTATTTTTATGTATTTAGACTACAAATAATTAAATAAATAAACGTAAATAAAAGACGAATATAGGTATAATCCTTGAAACTGTAATTACTGCAGCTCATAATATTCATTCAAATCTCCAGAGAAATTAAAAAAGGGAAAATTACTTAATTTACTTACTTGCAATATGTTCAGTCTTTGTACTAGCTTTTCTCTCCATAATTTTTGGCGAATTGTTTTTTCTGGCAGGTTTGGCTAGGAACGTCGGTGGCACCTGAAAAAAAAAGATGTACTTAAGATAATAATCATAAGGAATACATCACATAAAATTAAGTGGTCTTTGAAATCACAAGGTTACCACTTATGTTTTCCTCTAAATGTTTCCTCTGATAAGAGATAAATTGACATTCATTTAAGTAAAGAACTAGCAACAAAAATTAACTTAAAAACAAACTGAAATTTTGTATCAAATGGGATACACATGAAAATTTTATTTTTAGATTTTCGTCTTCGTCTTATCTATAATGGTTCTTAGAATTAGCCATACTCCAATATTTGAGGCCAGAGTAACATAAATTAACTGAAAGAAACATAAAATACTTATAGTTTACTTCAAAATTTAATAGTTTTTAAGTGAATAAATAAATAAAATAAAAATAAAATAACAAGAATTTCTACTGAAATATTTTATTTCAATCTTAAATTCTACATGCAACTTTAAAATTTTTGCTTCGAAATAAATTTTACTTACAACTTTATCACTTCTTTGCCCGCTAGGCAGTCTGGCTATTCCCGCTTCTGGACTATCTTCTGGAGGTGGAGGTTGTGTTATCCAGTTGTACTGCCTTTTGTCTAAGGGTAAACCCCATCTTTCATATTCCAATGATTGGGTACGAAGGGTTTCGTAACAATCTAAGCACACTACCGAGTAATCACCATTTTCCAAAAGCAGTGAATATTCCGGTTGTGGATGAAATCTTAAGAAAGGAAAATCCTAAAAGGAAAAATGAACTTGCGCTGCGTTCTCCATTTCCTAAATACAATTTTAAATTTAAATTCAATTAAATTAGATGAGCCATATTAGAGAAAAAATGTTTTCCAATGTGTTTCTAAAAATATATTTTGTGTCCATAAGATAAACTTAAAAAATCACTTTTTACTTCATATAATGAGTTTACCAATTGCCACGCTTGTACAAGCTGGACACTTCTAAAAATTGTAGGTAAAACAAACAAAAAACATTTACATACTAAACATTAAAAAATAAAATCTTCTAAACAATTAACTTTATGTATTGAGCAGTATTGTTTTATTACTTTTGTATTAAGGCAAATATGACAAATCCCTTTTTACAGTTCTTATGCAACACCCTTTTTATGTTGGTCACCAAGCACCAAATGGATCTGTTGTTCCCAGCCTTATCAATTTTTTTCTAGTGGGATATAAAAAAAATATTTTTTTATCACATTTTCAAAAAATTTTGAATGGGCACAATAAATTTTTAGAGTAATAAAACGAATGTAAATTGTAAAGTGATTGCCTATACATCTTATAATTCTCTATCCGATTAATTAAGAGAAAACCCTCATACCTCTTACACAAATGTGTATTAGCAAAGCTGTATCTTACCTTTATAAGTAAAGCTCTTACTCTTTTCCTATATGTAGTTATACCACAGACATAACAACAATAATCGTGAGTGTTATATTCTCTCCTATCTGCAACTACATGGCCGCCTTGACTCTCGTACCTGCGCCACTGACTCACCAAACTATGGTAACAAAAAGTACATACAAGTGCACTGCCATCCTCACGAAGTTGCTCTGCATTAGGCGGACTCTTGTGACGCAAAAGTGCAGGAAAGTAAGGTGCATTTCGACCTGTAATCAAAAGCAATTAAGAACAACATGCTAAAGTTTTAAAAAATTGATTTTAATTCACCCTCTTCCTTATTAAAAGTATTACCAATATTATTTCTAACAGTACTGAATCATATTAAACACAATATTTCCATTGCAAAATCCACCATAATTCCAATAATTACACCTACCTTGAGGTTTACTATAAACAACCCTAGCCAAAGTAAATTCTGAATGTAAACCGCAGAGAAAACAGTAAATACTACTGCCGCCAGGATTGCTACATACTGTCCTCTCACTATTTGTACTAGGAGGTGTAGGGATACCTCTATCACCATTGACAAGTTGGGCATCAGGTAATGGAACATCATACCTATATGAGAAATGAGTTTCTTAATTTGATTCAAGTAAATTCAATGCTTATTGTGTTGCAATTTTTACCAAATAACAAAACTTTCATATCCTCAAATACATTTCTACTGATAATGACAACCAAAAATCTTTTTTGTTTCACCAATCATCCCAGTTTCCCATCCCAGTTAAGCTCTGAAGAAGCCACCAAGATGATTGGCGAAACGTCTGCAACTTCGATACAGCAACAACCGTCCCAGGATGAATCCAAAAGATTTGTAAATTTTGAGATTTGAGAATAAGTTTTTTGAGCATACCTTCTTCTCTCTAACGGAACTCTTTCAGCTTCAAAAGTCTCCCATTGCGCAGCCAAATGATTAACGCATCTTGTACAACTTAAAACTCTCCCGTGAGAATCAATACAACTATTTTCTAATGTTCTGCCAATCTAAAACAGGTAATGTTCAAATTTATTTAAATGCTTCCAATATGCCTGAAAGTAGAGGGTATCCAGTTTTGGATTAGTGCGTTTTCTGCTTTATTTTAGTTATATGAAGAGCATGAAGTGATTTTCAGATTACTAACATGGCTTGCTTTTGAGATTCGAAGAATTTCTAATAATTTCAAGTTTGGCACAGTCAACATGTGTACCTTGGCGTAGTTTTTAATGTTTGCGGAAGTACTCAAGTTTTTCTTGTAAAAGATCACATGTTCCAAAAATTAAATGAACTTACAAAAAGAATACCACAACTGGACATTCTGCTTATCAACTGATTTCCAGGCACAGAATTGCACAGAATTGAAGTTCGTTATTTTAAAAAAGGCATATTTGTCATAGTGAATTTCATTGGGACAGTGCACACTATGCGTATTGTTTTCCTCTATTAGGCAATATACGTAAATTTCTAACCACTTACCTTGGACAAACAAGGAAAATGCATAGCATGAGAGTTCATGCCTTCGGGAGATGTACTAATCCATTCCATTTGGGGCAGAGGAAATAAACCTGCGCATATATAACATCGGTAACTCTGCGAATTTGGATGACCATTTACATCCATTAAGGGAGATGTCGTTCTTGGAACATTTACGGACTGCAATTGAAAAAATACAAAATAATTTTTTTACCATATTGATTTTAAATTTGCGGGCCATTAAATTTTAAATCATATATCCAATGTTGAACAGCGCGTGTGTGACCTCCGAAAAAGTGAGCAAAAGCTACTGGAGAGGCAATTATAACAAGAAATATAAGTTTCGCAATGCAAGAATGCAAAAACAGGCAGTTAAATCGCTCAAATGCAGTATAGAAATAAATGGCCTATTACTGTCAATCCTTATTCCTAAATATTATTGCTAATCTTATTCGTGATATTAAAATTATTTCTTTTTACAAAACTTCTGAATTCCTCTTGCGTCGGTTTTTGCTTAGTCGAAAGTGCTGAAGTTTCGCCAATCATCAGCAAAACGTCAGCAATTTCGACTAAGCAAAAACTGACGCAGGAGGAATCCAGAAGTTTTGTAAAAAGCATTACAGTAGCCTGTGGAAGTTTCTTTGAAAAAATAAAATTATTCTTTCATAATTCCCGCCCGGTTCAGTTAGCAAGTGTTGTCATAACCAAAAACTTGTCATTACCACAAAGTGTGTACCAAGTGATCTTAGCAGCAAAAAATAAAAGATCGCGGTTCTATTAAAAATTAATCTTTATTCCACTTGTGTTCTTTGGATAGGAAACACATGTCACAGTTTATGTGTCATGGTCTTAAGGCTCTTTCATGTTCTTTGAGCCTAGTAAATATTTTTCGTCCTGTTTCTCCAATGTACTCTTTGCCGCATATGTATTCCAACTCATCATCAGTTGCCAAATACAATCATGAAACTGAAAACTAAAATTCTTGCATGTATTCAATTCTTCTACCTACGAAAAATCCGAGAATCTATAGAACTCTAGAAGCAACCAAACAATCTTAACCGCGACTCAGGTCTTTATAATAATAATAATAATAATAATTAATTTCCAGGTACGTTTCATATAACTCTGTATTGTATACTAAATTTGCTATACTAAGTCCCCATACAAAACTAGGCATTTATTTACTCTATATGACGAATGTCTCACTCTATATGACAAAAGAATTAAATAATCCAATTTCATGCCCTTCTTGAAATTCTTTACCCTAATCTTCCTAGCTCTTTTCAGAATATGGTGAGTAACTTAGATATCAGTTTCTTGAGCTGCGCCATAAAGAGCTGTGATAAAATAGAGTTAAGATTAACTTAGTTGTCTAATAACAATCAAAAGTCACTAAAACCTTGATTTGTTCTTTCTTCAAATTCAAAGTAGGAAATATAAAAGTACTAATTGGATTAACACAGATGATTTCTAAAAAAGATCGTTGATAAAAATTTGACATGCTAGAGTTGTCAGTCAGTCTAAAACACAAAAGCCTGACAACATTTAGTTTTTAAATTATTACATAAACAAAAATAATTATTCAAAGTTCATAAAACCTTAATTATTATTGACACCAAATATGGTTTGACGGTTTCTCAAATCCAGATTAGATGGTTTGGGTTACTACTGGTTGGGAATATCCCAAAATATCACCAATTAATAATCCCAATCACAACCATCAATCATCATTGACGATGATGATAAACTGCAAAGAACAAAATACTTTTAATTTAAATACCTTAAGACTTCTTCCACTTTCAGATAATGGAACTTGCTTCTTCCGGTTGGTAACTACAGCAGACGAATTAATATCATAGGGCTTATACCGAATGTCTGATCCAGCAGAATTGGCAGGACTTTTCACAGTACTCGACCGGGAGGAATTGTTATTCAAGTACTGAACTTCCGTAACACTTATATGATTGTTAGACTGGGTACTAGATTCATTTCCATAAACCTACCAAGACAATTTTTCAAATTAACAAAAAATTATCCAACAATTAATTATGTGATAGAATATGCTGATGACTACAAGAAATACTAGCTTCAACATTCCCAGTATCTGCGACGCGACGTTCGCATAAAAACGTAATATGTGTACAATGTACTTTGTATTTCAATTCTCCTTGTAACGGCTTAACGAAAAGCTAGTAACTCTGTTTGTAAAAAAATAAAAAGTGTTTTTAAAAACGAGATCCGCAGTCGGTGGGGCTTTGGGATAGTATTCGATCAAAGCCGCGTCATCGGGATGATTTGATCGCGAAACGTGGGTTTCAACGCTTAAAACTCCAAAACGACGACTGACTGACAAACCCAACGTAATTGAATTTGACTGAGGGCAAAGAAGATAAGAAATCACCCTCGCAAGCAGCGCTACACAAGGAAGATTCTAATAGGACGAATAGGCTGGTGACTAAGAGAAATCAAGGTTAGTGCCCAAAATTCACATTGTTCTCCTTTCATCTTCCCTGGTTAGGGCTGTGGAAATAATTTTAAGATTCTTAATTTTGTTTAATTTTAAGAAACCTCAAAATCAATTAAATTTATGAGTGAAGATAAAGACGTCGACAATTTAAGTGCGTTCTTCACTTCGTTAAACTGAGTTTAAAAGAAAATAGAAAATAGTCAATTCAAATTAAAAAATAATTCTAATGAATTGACAAATGCAGGTGTAAATTACACTTTGTTAAAAATATTTACAAGACGTATTTTCACGGTACGCCCAAGCTTATTATTAGAACCCGCTTGCACAGCAATTGCCATCTTAGATGGTTTAGAGACCTTTATAAGTCATCACGGCCTACCTCAACAAATAACGTGCGATAATGATACGGAATTTAAAACGTCTTTGCTTTTAGATATCTGTAGATTGCATAAAATTGCAATTCATTTTACAACTCCTGGCAATTCCAAATTATTGAAATGGCTTTTTGGCGCTCTCGATTCAGACGATGGACAAAAATTTGATAGAATTTTCGCAGAACTTGTTCGTAGTAAACATTCATCTGACATCCAACTAAAAAAGCAAACCTCGTTGATTCAACAGCTGATCGACAATTATGACACTATAACACTTCTACAGAAAATCAAAAACTATTAAAAAACATTTAGACACATATAATTCAAATAAAACTATTACTGACATTACTACTTTTATTAAAGCTCAAAACAAACTTATGCAAACTAATTCTAAATTGCCAAGGTTTTATACCATTTTTGGATAATTTAGAAGATGCCATTACATTTGCGAAATTAAAGATTGCATTAGAACAAATAATTCTAAAATTGAAGGTTCTCTATGGTGATCATCAAATTATAATTTTTGAAAATCAAAATAATTATTATCACTTAGCAAACTTACAAATTAAATTTGCAAAGGATAAAATAATTTTTGCCGTCCATATTCCGATTTTTCTTAAAGAAATTTTTTAATTGTTCCACCTACTCCCAGTACCCGTAAATCGATCCTTAATTGTACCTAATTTACTCTACCTATTATTGCAACAATATCAAGAAGCAATCTGTCCAATCATTGAAGACACGTACGTTTGCGAAAATCAACTTAGCCAGCCAATCGGTGACTGTGTGGCAACCCTCATTAAATATACCGAAAACAAAAATAGCCACGTAGTCAACGTAAATGTTTCAACGCATATAATACGACCAATCACAAGTAGATATTGTATTGATAATACCATCCGAATAGAATTGTGGAAATAGCTTTTATTGGAGCACTTTGCCTATTCGATGTTCCATATGATTGTGATATAAGTACCCAAAATTCTGAGCTTTGGAATAAAGAGGAACTTTTTAAAGCAAACCCATTCTCACTGCCATCCATTAAAATTGAAAATGTAAAACATCACGATGTGAAGTACCAGCCATTCCAACTAAAATCGATTGATGTCACTTGGAGTCTCGCCACATCGACGGGAATAAGGTTTATTTTAACTTTGCTAATAGTTACAGCATGGAAAATCTCCAACAACCCGTCCCTGTGGTTTTCCACTACCGAGGGAGTAATTATGTGATAGAATATGCTGATGACTACAAGAAATACTAGCGTCAGCATTCCCAGTATCTGTGACGCGTGGTCCGCATAACAACATTATAAATATGTATACAATGTACTTTGTATTTCAGTTCTCCTTGTTCTCCTTGGCTTAACGAAAAGCTGGTAGTTCTGTTTGTGAAACAATAAAAAGTGTTTTTAAAAACGACATCAGTCGTTTGAAAACCTTAACTAATTACATCTTTTCGTTTTTATAGCAAGCTAAAATTTTGAAAACAAGGATATTAAAAATTTGCATATTATCTGATACCAAATTACGCAAGATTACTTTTTGTCTGGTCACACAAGTCATTACAATTATTGACCAACAAAATATAAATATAATTACATAACTAACCTAAAATAAACTATAATTATATTTTTTTTGGGAATAAACGAGGCTCACACTCACAATCACATAAGTAGGCAAGTACTATTTGCTTGTGATGAAAGCGAAAGATTACTACAATTTCGGTGCCAACCTCTTTTTTACTCTTATCCTAGAACCATTGCATGGTTTTGAATATTTTTGCCTTGCATCAATGGGCACCATCATAAAATTTTATTTCGCACTAACCTGGTGTTTTTGAGGAATGCTCTTATAACATGTGGAACACACTTGTACCATGCCTTGTGGGGAAACAGGGCTAGCCCCGGGTGGCGCCTTTAAAGACTGGATAAATGGAAAATATGGCTCCTAAAATATAAAACCAATATTTAGCTTTCTGCCAGATTTTATACAGTGTTATTAATTTTATAAAATAATTTTGTATTAAGCAGTTTGATTAGTAAAAGCATTGCTGATTTGCTTATTTAAAAAAAATCTGTGGTACCTTCTCAGCATTGGGACAACAATACAGCAGCCGTATACTAGAGGAAGGATATTCCAGAGCACAAGTATAACAAATGAAGGTAGTAGTATCCAAAGCGGCACTCTGACGTTTACGCAAAGTATAATTTCTTTCTGCGTGCGAAACTCCTAAAAGATTGAAATGAACGATTAGTCCATTTTTTAAGTGTAATAAAAAATGGAATTGAAATGTTTGACACAACTTAAAATTACTTAAATCTAATAGTACATGATCCCATTGTGATATGGAAAACCGGTTAATTCCAGATTTTTTCCAAAATTGTCTTTTCATTTTACTGGAATTGTAGTAATTCAAGATAAATTAAACCGATAATTAGCACTTAAAATATTTATTCATTTTCATAGCAATAAATAATGTATTTTTGAAGGATTTTCATCTATACAGTGAACCCAAAAAAATATTTTAAGTAAGCAGTAATGAAACTAAGTGGTAATAACATTTTTGTTTAAATATTTGTGTATCCAAATCAGATGTAAATATCTATTTAACTGATAAATTACCTTGTGTTTGAAATGTTTGCCACTGTTTGAGCAGGTGTTGTTGGCAATCAACACAAGCCTGGACTCTGCCTTGGGAATCAATTGGCCTGCTCCGACTAGGTCTAGGATGTTCAATTAGACTGGGAAAAAATGGTTGCAGAGGTGTTTCAGTTAATTGTTTTGACGCAATAAAATCTAAACTACCCTTTTTGAACTCATCACCGCACACATAACAGACCTGAAAATCATGATCACCATCGCATTTAATATCACTGGCAATTTGAAGTCACGCTTTAAGAATTACACAAAATGTTTAATTCAAGGAATGCCTGTTTTAAAATTTTGAAAAGTAATAAAAACTGGGAAAATTACTCAATTTACTTCAAAATTTGTTCATTCAATTTCATCTCTTACAAATTGGAATTTCATTGATATTTACCTCTGTCACGGAATTTTTATCAGGCATACTTAAGTCTAAAATATCAGTACCGGTGGATGAATTAGAATTTTGGCTGTGAAACATAGGTGGCACAGACACTGATTGCACTACTTGATGTGGACTGGAATGGGTTAAATCCAATGCACCTTCTGCTACCATGTCCTCTCTCTCTGTACCAGTAACTACCTAAGAAAATTTAATAAACACTTGAATAAAGTTCATAACAATCTTTAGGTAAAGCAATAAAAGACCAACAAAAATCTTAAAATATTTACCGCACCATAAAGCCAAATCAGAATTACTCACTGGGGCTGAGGTAGGTCTGGGCGAACCTTTTAATCTTGAAGATTCGTCTCTGATTACAGGTCTCGTGGAACATGCAGCGAAGGGAAATTTGGAACTGGAACAAACCCCTTGCTCGTTGTTAAGACCCAGAACTTGAGCAGCATATTCGCCTTGCATGCTCATATCTGCGCCTGTGTATGGTCCATTATCAACCCGCTTAAGCCAATAGAGCCGCTCAGAGTGAGGACGCGAAATAAATTCATACTGGTCCCATTGTTGGAGAAGGAGAGTATAACATAAGCTACACGCAGCATAGATAGCGCAATCACCTTTAGCTATAAGAAATAAATACAACTTTGACGTGGGAATATAAATAAATAAGCAATTATTATACAAAATGTTTCACATTGGGTCTCATATTAAAAGTTTTGCGGAACAAAAAAAGGCAAACTTTTTAAAAATAGGTGAGACTAAAAGTATTTTTAAAATGAAACCAATGGCATGATGAGCAATTCGTATATCACGTTATAATTTAAATGACCAAAGATAGAGAAAACAATTAAAGAGACTTCCATCTATATCGGAATATTTCCTAGAGAATTCATAAATTACTTTTAGTCCAAATTTACGAGTTTTTGCAGATTTCATAAAAGTGACTCAGTGGCCTTGTTATTCCCAACATGTACCTAAATCAATACATCAATTCTAAAAAAAAATTTGGAGAAAATCGCGATTTAAATTATTTGAGTTTCATCGATTAGATTAACCTAACTTAACGTAACCGCTTATCTTACACAGCTAACGTGTTACAGGAGTAGCAACTCAGTTTCTAATGATCATAATCTCAATCATAATAGTTTGCTCCACCGTTAAATCACATACGCCCTAAAATGTTATTCATTTTTGAACCACAGTTCTTTATGCTTATGAAAATTTATTTTTCAATTCTCAAAAACTTTTTTCCATGCAAAGCGTCTAAGAAATTAACTTTGGAAATTTACACAATAAAATTGTGAAAATCGCTTACTTTTAGTCTTACCTTAATTTTTAAAACAATTCAGTGCACTTTTTAAACAATTTGATCAATGTTCCATAAAATTTAATTTGCAAGTTTAACTAAAAAATATATATATTTATGATTATAAAATATTTATGGTATTATCTATTTAATATGAAAATTAAAAAATGCAATTTATTTTATTTAATTTAAATTCGTAACATTTTAATATCTAGTAACCAGATTAGATTAGATTTACCCCAACTTTTTGTGCAACTGGACGAATATCCTTTGGGTGACTCGTGAGACTCCAAAAATGGAAAGTAGGGTTCTTTTGGTCTTTCAGGTCTAGGTTTTGAACTCAAGGGGTAAGAACGACTATGGCCCCTGTTTCCACAAACAAAACACACTTCAGGTGAATTTGAATTGGTTGAAGAAAGTTCAGCAGGCTGTTGTTTCATGGATGAAAGAAGTAACTGCTCTACAACCGCACTTGAGCCCACTGACTCTCTTTTCTTAACAGATGCCTGAGGCAATTTATCCATAGCCTGCATTTGAATCCAATATCTGAAAAGAATTCACTTTTTTTTTCTTTCCATACTATTTATAAGTAGCACTTGTAGCAGTGTACATGTAGGACAACAGTGTGAATAATAAGTAAATCATCAAATACTTCAACAAAATCTACAAAAATTAAGTTTATGCGAATTTTCTTAAACTTCAAAATCAACCAACCTATCCAATAAGATTGCCCTAAGAATCTCTACTAAAAACTATAACGTTAATACATTCGTGAGAAAAAATTCTCATCGGTAAACCAGCTAGCTCCAGTTATCGAAATTATAAAAAATGGAGAGAAAAATGTGGCTATTTTGTGAAACATTTTCGCGTTGCGAAGTACTGATGCAAAAAACAAGCCTTTGCGTCGATGCGCCGTGGCAATACGGCAACAACATTTGCCACCTAGTTTTCTTCCTTTAAAAACTAGAATTAACTTTGTCGCACTTAAGGTTTAACCCAGGGAGCAATAAAATATTTCGTTTATCTTTCTATAATGGAAAATATTTTTGAACTTCTTTCAGTATTAAACACATTAAAACAAATTAAAATTCGGTTATATTTTGAAGAAAAAAAAAATAAAAAAATATTTACGTTTAATGGAGAGTTACATGAACATCATTAAAACGGGGAATTATTATCAGCGAATCTACGAACAGTTGTATTAAACAAAAAACACAACTTTATAGTTCGCGCTACAATATGAAAATCATTTATAAAATAATAATTCACCGCCATACATATATCCGCAAAGTGAAACTTTCGAAAATATCCATGTATGGGCAAGGTTACAATCTAGATATACTGGAAAAAATTGCCTCTTTAGGGAAAAATTGTTGATAAGTATAAAAGCTTTGAGCTCAACCGTAAGTATTCATAAATGCCAAAGAATAAATAACGCAACATAGTGACCAGCATGCGATTTTTAAATGATGACTGATTTTGGTGGAACTGTAATGAAATTGCGATTAAAAGTCAAACTACAAATAGTTTAGTCGAGAATTTGGCTTAGTAGTATACTACCTTGCACTCTTAGGTACTTATTATAAAAAATACTAAACGCAAAAAATTAAATATGAGAAAAAGACTAGTCAGTAATTTTCCGGAAAAGTTGGTTGCAAATACACGAAAATAATAATTATATTTAGTATGTTATTAAGTCAGGACATTGTTAAGTGACCCATAAATGTTTTAAATGGAACCGATAAAAAAGATATTTTCAAGTTCAAATTCTTTGATCCAAAAAAGTAAACAAAGCAATTGTGACCTTTAGGTTGATTGGGCTAATAGATAAAATATTTATCAGTTACTACTTATAAAACAATAACTTTAATATTTACGTTTTGCATTTCGTGCTCCAAGGAAAATACCTCTTATTTATATGCGAGATACATTTGCATTAAACAAGCTAGATATAAATAACTAAACTAAACCTGATCAAATCACATATCACAAGGAAATAGATTACTTTATAAAAAAGGTAATACAATTATTAGAAAGTCTCATAAATGAACTTTCTCAAAAATTGAAATTACTTTTTATAAAACTTCTGGATTCCTCCTGCGTCGGTTTTTGTTGAGTCGAACTAGCTAACGTTTCGCCAACAAAAACCGACGCAGGAGGAATTCAGAAGTTTTATAAAAAGTATTACAGTAGCCTGTGGAAGTTGAAAAAAGAAAAAAAAAAGAATTTGCTTGAAACTCTAGACTGTAAATAGTATAATTCACATTTCCCTGGGTAATTCCTATTGTCAAAATATTGTTCAAAGAGTTTTAACTATTGCCAAAGTCGCCAAACTAAAACCCGTATCTTATTTAGTATACACAAGCTTTAAACAAATCTTAATTATATGGGAGAAAACAATACTTATAATACAAGGATACCTATTTGCCTCCCTAATAAACACAAAAATGTTAATATCTCTATATCTATTATTATTATTATTATGAGATAAGTTCAAAATTAATAGTAGAATCCGAATATGAAGAAATATCTATAGGAGGATCCGTGAGGAGAATATGTCTTTGGTAAGCAAAAAAACATTATTTTACTTCGTTACACATTTATGGGACATCTAGTTTACATGACAATAATTTTTTGCTACTGAAGTCATGCTACTGGGCAACTTTCTTTTATTTCATTCTATCGCCGTCCACTGCCACAATGTCAACCGTCGTTGCAGTATCGGGACACCCTGTATATAATTAAATTGTGAGAATGCTTGTTAAAATATGAAATGAGTTTCCAAAATTTTTGATTTTTTTCGAATTACGCCATTTCATGATATTTTCGATGAAATATTCCATTACGAGCTAATCAATGTTTGCTGAGCAAATGATGATAATTGTTTTTTTTTTTCGTTTTATTCATAAAATCCATACTGTATAGGAAAATATCTGTTAAGCCACTTCACAATTGACAGCCTGTCTGCCAACCAAACGCATTGGCATATTTTAAGACTTAAACGAATTATACCACTTATATGCCTTAGCGACCTACTGTTGGTCACTAACTATTCAAGGCAACATTCAAATTTGATCCTGCAAAATATATTTGAAAAACACTAAAACAATATACGAGGAAAGTTTATTCAAGCATAAATTTTAAAAACTGTAATATCTTGAAGTATTCACTATCCTGACAAAGAATTGTAAGTTTCACATATAATAACAACCCTTTAGAAACCCTGTTGAGTGTACAATTTAGATTATAAGATACCTAAAATCCACTCCTAGAAAACAGCTGTTTTCATTCATTTACATCCGCCGGTATACATAATAATATCCAACTTCCAAGAAAAAATGTTTGAATACTCTGGTGACTTATAGCATTTGACACTCGCAACAACCCTAAATATACTACAATTTCTGTACCTTTTATTGTGAAACATTCAAAAGCGCCATGGTGGTACGCAGTAGAAACGTAAAATTTAAGGCGTGTATAGCAAATAAGTACAAAATTTTTGACTTACTTCTGGTTTTACATTAACAGCCCGACAATTAATTTTCAGTTACACAAAATTTGTTCTCGTTCATTTCCTATAACACATAGGTAGATTTGCCCCAACTTTCAACTATCACAAGAAGCACTCAAGGTCTACATTGCAATTATTTTTTTTTTTTAATGCACTAAACAAAATGCGTTTTGGAACGCACTGTTGCAACTAAGTTTTAGAATTTTTGAAATTTTGAGTAGAACGTATTCCGACAAATCACTGATCAAACTTGCCCATCGCGATCAGCCATTTTGAAAAAATATCCAACATTGCAGCATTATAGCCAACATGGTTTCGACAAAAGCAATATCCCCAAAAATGTTCTTCTTCTTTTCAAGTATTTTTAGTTTTCTGCGACATTTTCGAATTTTTCGGTTTAACACGAAAGACGTGACCGATTTCGAAAAGGACCGAATCATTTCAATCAATCGTTCATTTGAATACTTTTTGAAGCCAACATAAGCGGCAATAGTCACTAAATCCGAACAGTCCGAACGACCTATTCAGATTCATTTGAATTTGAATTATTGTTGTGTCTATATGTTATGTTTTCTGTTCTAGTTAGTATAATATTTAGCTGTGTTCTGCTTTTTAATGAATCATGATTTTATCAAAATAGGTGCTACGTATTGGCTTGTACCAGTAATACATTAATTTGCTTAAATTAAATACCTGTGTGGAAATAGATATTTCATTCAATATTCAATTCAACACTTAAGCAAATCTACCAATCGATGTCGCAACTCAATACTATAGAATAATTATAACAATACTCCCATTCCTTGTCCGTGGCCTGTCTCAGTCATGAATTTAAATCTTAACCATTCAAATGAATCGTATTCCGGCGAATTCGGTTTGTTTTGGTACGGTCGATCGATCGGTCGTTATGTATTCGGTCACTTGAGACTGCAGCGAGAGCGAACAAGGTGATCGAATCGTTACGAAAAAGCCGGATTCGGTCGTTCGATCCTATGAAGTGATTAAATCAAAGTGATCGAATCAATCGCGATTGACACAACTCTACCATGGTATTCACCGCACGAAAAGCAAATACTATTTGGTGGTCAGCTGGGCTAGATTATCAACGGCCATATTCGGCGTGTGTACAAAAGCCAAGCTTATAGTTTAAACCGATTTAAAATGATTTTTAGGCCTGGCTTGTTAGATGACATAACCTAAGTTTTTTTTGCATTCTGTCGTGAGCATTGCACGTGGAGGTTTAACTTGCGCTCGCTCCCGACAGAATCCGTTGTAATCGTCCCACGAAGTTTTGATATCGGTAGTGTTTGGTTTCTAAGTGTTTTGTGAAGGTTTTAAAGTTATAATCATTGTCAGCTCCGGTGTTTTTTTCTGTCCACGATGGTTAAAGGCCGTATTGGCCAGGATGGTTGCCGGGAAAGCCTTTTTTGCCATCGGTCAAAGTACCTTTTTTTTGAGAACCTATTAAGTATATGTTAACAAGCCTGGATGATGATGGAATGGACCAGACTCTTCTCTTATAAGGTATTCTTTAGCATTTTTGAATGATGTTCACAATTGTTGTAAGCCGGCTGAATGACCTTATATAGTGATGGCCATTAGAAGCAATAAGGAAGAACCTAAATTTTAATTGGTCGCATTCAGCGGGCGTAGCAAAACGCTCCCGATACATAGCGACTGGCAACGTGTATGTATCTAGGGGTTATTTTTTTTTTTGGGTGTTGATTTTGAGATTTACATTTTTTTCGAAGGTATATCTTTTTCAGTGTTTGTGTGTAGTGCTGCTGATTTAATATGTGTTAATAAAGTGGAAACGTCTTTGTACTCTAGGACCTACTACATCAGAAATTAGTAGAAAGGATGTTATGGACATTTTAATTGAAAACGAAATGACGGAGGATAATATAGTCAAATGGTTTTGGAATTAGCAGAACCAATTCAAATATTCGAGGTTAATGATGGTGTCCAATACCAAAGAATACCAAGAAAAGACTGTAAGGAATTATGGGAATTTATTCGTAAAATATTTTCGAGGCCTACATTTGTAAACTTATTAAAAGAGGTCCATTTTAGAATTTATCACATCCAGCAAGTTTCAGAGCAACGTGACATTTGAAATACGACACATGGAAGTCGATATTGCAGGTGAGGTTGGAAATGAGGAAAGGAACCAAATAGCAAATATGCTCTTATACCAAATAAAAATGTGTTCTCGAATTATTGCTCTTTTTTTTGTAATTCACAGAATAAGTGCAAAATTTTATTTCTTTCCTCCTGGATTTTCTTACTAAGAGGTTAATTTCTTGTATTCGAGCTTCCTCAATATTTGTCAGCCTTCTTTGTAGATAAAACATTAAACTCTTTAACTTCCTAGCCTTGGTACTTCTAAAATGAAAACATGTTATAAGCCTTTAATTATACAAATAAAACATCCTATGGGGCATATACATGTTGCTCTGATTGGAGTGGTGATGCACCGGACGAACAGTGTTCGAAGTGTTTTTGGAGCGCGAGCATTGAAGATGCCAAGTGAGATTTTGGCGAAACGTCTGCAGGATTTGCAGGATTCTAGTCGGAGTTCAACGAGCGAACGGATGATATCCCGGAATATAGTGTCATCACATTTTTCCATCCGTGAATCAATACGTGAGAATATATATATATATATATATATATATATATATATATATATATATATATATATATATATATATATATATATATATATATATATATATATATATATATATATATATATATATATATATATATATATATATATATATATATATATATATATATATATATATATATATATATGTATATATATATATGTATATATATATATATATATATATATATATATATATATATATATATATATATATATATATATATATATATATATATATATATATATATATATATATATATATATATATATATATATATATGATGACACTATATTCCGGGATATCATCCGTTCGCTCGTTGAACTCCGACTGGAATCCTGCAAATCTTGCATCCGACTGGAATCCTGCAGACGTTTCGCCAAAATCTCACTTGGCATCTTCAATGCTCGCGCTCCGAAAACACTTCGCAGGATTCCAGGATTCCAGTCGGAGTTCAACGAGCGAACGGATGATATCCCGGAATATAGTGTCATCACCGTCGACCCCGTCAACGTCAGCATAAATTTATTATAAATGCTAATTTCTATTGTAAAACGTGGTCTGATAACATTCTCTCATCACGAGGTTATTATGTCCATTTTTAGTTTGATTTTAACGGTCTGATAACATTCTCTCATCACGAGGTTATTATGTCCATTTTTAGTTTGATTTTAACGGTCTAATAACATTCTCTCGTCACAAGGTTATTATGTCCAATATCATTTTGATTATAATTTTAATTTAAAGTTAATAAATATATTTTTTAAAAAGTTATTTTTGAAAAGTGAAATATAAAAATTGGCGCAGTCAGTAGGATTCGTTCACGTTGCTAGAACACGAGTATTCTAACTAGTGACGGCGGATTCCAATCCCTTAGACGGAAAGAAGAACCATCGCATTAGACGGAAAGAAGAACCATCGCAGAACAAGGAACCTTCCATCACCGTTTCGAGAGGCAAGAATTCGGAGTAGGATCTGTTCACGTTGCTAGAACACGAGTATTCTAACTAGTGGCGGCAGATTCCGGCCCCTAAATCTAGGGAACAACGAAGACAGCCCATCGTACCGGTACAAGGATAAACCCATCAACCGTCTCGAAAGGCAGCAATGAAAATAGTACTGTAAGTGTTAAGAATCGTTACGAATAATTTTATTTTTAATTTGCAACATTGTTGAATTTATTACGTTCGATTACCCAAGGTTGAAAATTACCTATTTATTGAATTTCCCAACGTAGAATTGTTCCGCGATAATTATTTTGATTAAATTTTAGTCTCCAAGTTTAACTTGGCAGTATTTAAAACAAAAAATAATTGTGTTTGAACTTCGTATAAATTTATTTGCTTTTTCTTAAAACCTAAAATAATGGCAACTCAATCAGACGAACCTAGTACAATGCTGGAAGTTGAACCATATAAACTTTCGGAAATTTTCTCTATCGTACCTGAATTTGAGGGCGACCAAATCTTTTTAGGAAATTTTATAAACGCGTGTGATTGTGCTTATAATATGGCAACAACGCAACAAAAAATTCTTTTAGTGATTCACATTAAAAATAAGCTCCGCGGTAAAGCAGCTCAATTAATTAATTCTAGGAATCCTGATTCATATCTAGAAATAAAGAAACTATTAACTCTACACTTTGGTGATTCTAGAGATTTACCTTCCCTAATTCATGACCTTCAACGTCTTAAACAATGGCCCAATGAATCAGCATTAACATTTTTCAATCGTCTTCAAGTCCTAAATGCGAAAATGCATTCATGTGTTCAAAAATCCACCACATTAGGATCCAAAGAGCAAAAGGATGCTCAGATATCTTTAATTGAGACTATGACCCTTAATACACTTCTTACAGGTTTAGAACCTAGATTAGGTCAACTCATTCGTGTTAGTAATCCCACTTCACTTTTAGAAGCCCAAGCAAGGATTCGTCGAGAACTCCAACTCTCATATTTTGAAAATCAAAAATCTGTCAAATTAAATTCTCCTAAATCGCATTCTGCGAATATTCGAACCCCTCTTCAGCAACCCAAATGCACTTTGTGTAATAAAATTGGCCATACTTCGAATCATTGTAGAAGTACGCATCAGCATGTCAAACCAAATTTTTCGTAATATCCACAGCGACCTTCTAATTGGTTCCAACAAAGCAACATTAGCAACAACTCGAATCAAATACCGATGAAATCTTCAAACTCTTATCCTAAGCCACATTTTATGAATCCAAACCCGCAGCGAACTCATCATGTAAACTCAAACCCGATCTACATCGACGGTTATTCCGGAAATTCCCAGGAATTTTCACATGAAAATTACACTCTTCAAGAAGATAATGAACTTCAAAATCATTATTCTAACCATCCAGAAAACTGCGAACCAGAACAGGATTTTCAAGAAAGCCCTTACGATATCCCACCAGACGAAATGTCTCCAGACCCGATTTTCGAAATCAATTCCCAAATTCAAACCCTGAATTTAGACAACATGAATCCCAATCTAAACTTTCCAGAACAGAACTTCTGTTAAACCCTCTTCTTACGGTAAATTCTAAAAATTTATACTATATTTTTGACGCTACGCAAAAATTCAAAATATTAATAGATACAGGCGCAGGTATTTCTATCTTTCAATATAAAACCGCTGAAAATTACAGAAAACGAGTTAAGGAAAATATTACCATCCAAGGTATAACAAATCAAACACTTTTTATTAAAGAATCCACACTTATTCTATTCACCGATAACGACAAACATAAAGTCTATCTTTACGATCTTGATATCGAATTTGACGGAATTCTCGGTTTAGATTTTCTTGATCACTACCAATGTATAATCGATTTAAAGTCCAAAAAACTTATAACGAATTTCAAAACAATGCCTTTACATAAAGTAGGACACGAATCTGTTCTTCCCAAAATTTGTAAAAAACCTGAACAAAATATTCAAAATCGAATTTCAATCGAACCTAGGACCGAAAGAATTTTCAAATTAAAATGTAGTTTAACAAACACAGACGCTATTCTCCACTCTCAAGAATGCGAAAAAGTTAGGTTACCTAATGCTTTAGTTAAAGTAAATAACTACTGTTATTAACGCTAATGCTATCCCAAAAACTATAGATTTTTCAAATTTATCTATCGAACCTTTTAATACAAATCTTAACGAAAAAGAAATAAATAATATTTTCAATCTAAACTCTCAACCTGTTGATAGGCGCGGTAATATTCAATCCCAGTTACGCACCGATCATTTAAACGAAGAAGAAAAAGAATTAATAACACAACTATGTCTTGATTTTTCCGATATATTCTATTTAGAAGGAGATCATTTAAGTTTTACCAATGAAATTAAACATACTATTGAAACGAATAGCGCCAGACCGATTTTTACAAAATCATATAGGTACCCACATGTCCACAAAAAAGAAGTAAAGTCACAAATCAACAAAATGCTCAAACAAGGAATCATTCGACCTTCCACTTCTCCATGGTCTTCCCCTGTTTGGGTTGTCCCAAAAAAATTAGACGCTTCTATGAAACAAAAATGGCGCGTAGTCATCGACTATCGCAAACTAAATGAAGTCTCTGTCGACGATAGATACCCTTTTCCCAATATTTCCGATCTCTTAGACCAGTTAGGCAGATGTCAATATTTCACTACTTTGGACCTAGCCTCTGGGTTTCACCAAATTGAAATTGATCCCAAGGACGTTGCTAAAACTGCATTTTCAGTTGAAAATGGTCATTTTGAATTTCTCCGTTTACCCTTCGGACTAAAAAATTCTCCATCCACTTTCCAACGTGTCATGGACAACATTCTCTTAGGTCTTCAAAACGAACGATGTCTCGTTTACATGGACGATATTATCGTTTATTCCGCTACCATACACGAACATATACAAAGGTTAACTGATGTCTTCAAACGCCTTCGTGGTGCAAACCTCAAACTCCAACCTGACAAGTGTGAATTTCTTCGAAAGGAAGTAGCTTATTTAGGGCATCTCGTGACCCCAGATGGAGTCAAACCCAACCCTGAGAAAATAGACGCTATTCAAAAAATTTCAGAACCAAAATCACCAAAAGACATTAAATCCTTCCTTGGTTTAGCCGGTTACTACCGACGTTTTATCCCCAATTTCGCTAAGATCTCAAAACCTTTAACTAGACTTCTGCAAAAAGACACACCCTTCGTATTCAATTCAGAATGCAAAAATTCATTTGATGAGCTTAAAAACGCTCTAATACGTGACCCAATACTCATTTATCCAAATTTCGAGGAAACTTTTGTCCTAACCACCGATGCCAGTGCATTTGCCATTGGTGCAGTTCTTTCACAAGGTCCAATTGGAAAAGACCTTCCCATAGCATATGCCTCTAGAACTCTATGTAGTGCAGAGGCGAAATATTCAACTATAGAACGGGAACTTCTCGCCATAGTATGGGCAGTTAAACACTTCCGCCCTTATCTGTTCGGAAGAAAATTTACTCTCGTTACTGATCATCGTCCTTTAACTTGGCTATTTTCGATAAATGACCCTGGTAGTCGTTTAGCTCGATGGCGTCTTAAGCTTGAAGAATACAACTATACCATTGTGTATAAGCCCGGTAAAATAAATAAAAACGCAGACGCTTTATCCCGTGTTAAAATTAACCATATTCAAGATTGTGTCGATCTCCAAAAGAAAATTTTTATCCTTGCACCTAATAACGATGACATTCACAACCGATCATCCACAAGTAAAGAAGAAATCGTTCACGATGACAATTCTAATAATTCAGATATCAAAGACGACACAGCGGAAGTTACAGAAGAATACAACAACTTCGCATACCTTCACAAAACCACATCCCTTATAGATTATTCCAAAATAGAAACCTCTAATTCGCAACTTCTCGACAAAAACCACAAAGATATTGTCACTTTCTTTTGGCAATCAAAACTTGATGATTTGCATAACAAAATAATGGACGATATTTTTGAAGAAGATATAAATTTTACGTTTAACAAAATTAACATTTTTTCTAGCAAAACCGTCAAAGGCAGGAAATATTATATAATCCCTCTTCCATATGACAATGAAACTGTAGTTCAACATTTATTCTATATTTTATTCACAGCTAAAAATGACTTTGATCTTTGTATTGAAAATAATTTACAACTTCCAATATTAGAAGTATTCTCCTTTATATTTTCCGAAAAGGATATAAAACTAAGAATCTGCCAAGATATAGTTCGAACTCCCGATCAAGACGAGATCCCTATCATTTTAGACCAATACCATTCAGGAAAAAATAATTTACATCGCGGAATCAACGAAACAGTTAAGCGCATAAAGCAAAAGTACAATTGGCCAACCTTGACCAAAGATGTCGAAAACTATATTAGAAAGTGCGAAATATGTCAACAAGTCAAGATCTATCGTAAAAACCTCAACACACCATTAGTTATCACAGAAACTCCTAAAACTCCTTTTAAGCGCATTAACATCGATATTTTCGAATTCCCAGTTCGTAATTACGCCCTTACCATAAGAGACGAACTCACAAAATTCACCCAGGCATATCCAATAAAAGACAAAAAAGCTTCTACAATCGTTACTACCCTTCTTCTCTACTTCCAACATTTTGGAACTCCTCTTAGAATACATTGTGACCATGGCCGGGAATTTGATAACTCCCTCGTCAAAGATCTTTGTCTTTTGTACGATATAAAGTTAACTTTCTCCAGCGTTAGCCACCCACAATCTAATGGATCACTAGAAAGATTCCATGCCACGCTCACAGAAATGATCCGAGCTCATAAAGCCGAAAATCCAAAAGAACACCCCTTTCATGCTCTTCCATACGCAATAATCTGCTACAACAACACAAAGAATAAAACGCTTGGTTTTTCCCCTTATGAACTAATATTTGGGCACACTTCTAGTAGGCCTCCAGAAATTCTGTGTAATGAAGAACAACTCATCACCAAATACATCCGAGACCTAAATAATCGCATGCAGCATTATTACAGAGTCGCGCGTACCCGCACTGATCAACAAAAACAAAAATCCAAAGTAAGATTTGATCAAGCAATCTCTAGAAATATGACTAAATATAATGTAGGAGATAAAGTTTATGTTAAGGAAACTCAAATTAGCGATAAAGCTCAGAATAAATTTAACGGTCCGTATGAAATTCTTGAAGTATTTGAAACTTCAGCCACTGTCAAAAATTTAACTACCGAACAAGTTTCAAAATTCAATTTTGACAAGTTTAAACCTTATTACGATTAGATTAAATTTCTTTCAGAATCTTGGGACTGATCTCTACAGTCGCACCCCAATTCCTCATTACTCCAGGAAATAATACAGTAGGCATCTTCTACCATGAAGAAAGTAGTTTAAGAATATCCAACAACAAATGGACGCTGCTAGTATATAAGGAACTAGAACCTCTGCGAGAAGCCATACGACATAATAATAAAATACTTTCCTCTCTCACAGAAATGTTAGACGATTCTTCTCCTCGTATGACAGCCTTCAAAACAAGTATCCAAACTCATTTTAGTCTTCTAACAGAATTGCTGACTCAGTCGAAGGAAAATTTTCAGAAATTACTATCGACACTGAAAATTTTAATTTTAGAACTAAACGCGGTTTAATTAACGGTGTAGGAACTATTTTTAAATCAATTACCGGAAACCTAGACTCTACAGACGGCGAATACTTTAATGAATGCATAGATAAAGTAACTAAAGACGAACACGAAATCGAAAAGCTGTTAAAAACTCAAATATCGGTTACATCATCTGTTATAAAATCTTTTAATTCTACAATTCAAAGTCTCCGAATCGACGAAGAAACTTTCAATCAGGATCTAACTCAAATTCAAAAATCTCTCTATGATATTTTAGACACCGTAGCATTTTACGAAAGTCAAATTAAAACACTTAATCTTTGCGAAAGCCTTATGGAAAGTTATGTATACCTAGAGTCTTACCTCAGCGATATATTAAACGCAATCACGTTCGCACGAATCAAAGTTTTTACATAGTTCTATTATTTACCCACGAGATTTAGTCATTTCTCTTCAGGAAATTTCAAAATCCTTGACAAAAAATAATTTACCACTACCACCCTATACTTCGAGCATTGCAAGGTACGTAGATATTATGGAGCTAGAAGCATTTCAAACTAAAAATAAAGTTGTTTTTGTACTAAGAATACCCTTAATTGAGCCTGAAATATACACATTGTATCGTGTTTTAACTATTCCAATTTTGGACAATCGAACACGATTATTCCATATAATTCCATCAACAATAAAATATATTGCGCGTGATGACGATTCTTTACTCTATGTACTACCTGAAGATCTAAAAAGCTGCAAACAAATTCGCGGTAAAGAAAGAATCTGTTTTAACTTAATGCAATATCCCATCGATAGAGAAGCCCTTTGCGAAGCGCAGTTGCTTAGACATTCCGATCGTGTTCTTGTTACATGTCAATCTTCAATCGTCTTGGCCTCAGATTACAATGTTATAGAAATCGACTTTAATTATTGGTTAATTACCGTATCCGAACCACTACCAATCTCCATTAAATGTGGAAAAAGAGACCTCGTAGCCGAAATGTTAAAAACTAATTCTTTACTTAAACTACAACCAGATTGCAGTGCATTTATTGGAAGCTCCAGAGTACGAGCTAAATACCTTGTCGAAGAATATAAGAACGTGACCTACAAGAGCCACGCCGTGGAGATTCCATATGATTGCTGTTCTCACATTCCAGAGAAGTTTCAACCCCCAGAGTTGAAACCCCTGAAGCTAAGTAAGATCGACACCGACGACCTTAACGTGGCCCAACACAAGCTGCACGAATATTCGGAAAAATTAGAAAACCTACTTCATCAACCAACCCTTCAGAAACATTCTCACTGGCTGACAATTATTTCGATTATTTTAATGACTGTTTTAGTACTTTGCTATTTCGTTTGCAAATGCCGGAGAAAGAAACCGACAACACTCAGCATCGCCGATGGTAACGATCCCCAACAACCTCCGAAGCAAAGTCGAAGACCCCTGCTCCCGATGCAACTCAAATCACTAACTCCGAAAAGACGGACTAGCATCCACCCAGAAGTAACTACCCGAGAAGCTACGCTTTAATTAGTCTGCGAAAAGCTGCAGCTAGGCTCCACCTTTTTACTTAATGGGGGAGCTGTTATCTCCGGAAATCCTATTGTCCACATGGGTTAAATGCCACCGACCTGCAAGAGTGCAACGATTGCGAAAACGTCGTAACATCCGCAGCCGTCGACCCCGTCAACGTCAGGATAAATTTATTATAAATACTAATTTCTATTGTAAAACGTGGTCTGATAACATTCTCTCATCACGAGGTTATTATGTCCATTTTTAGTTTGATTTTAACGGTCTGATAACATTCTCTCATCACGAGGTTATTATGTCCATTTTTAGTTTGATTTTAACGGTCTAATAACATTCTCTCGTCACAAGGTTATTATGTCCAATATCATTTTGATTATAATTTTAATTTAAAGTTAATAAATATATTTTTTAAAAAGTTATTTTTGAAAAGTGAAATATAATATATATATATATATATATATATATATATATATATATATATATATATATATATATATATATATATATATATATATATATATATATATATATATATATATATATATATATATATATATATATATATATATATATATAAATATGTATTTAGTTTCCTAACTGGAGATAAATGATAATTAATGAGCCATTCAGTTTGATTAATTTGTATATATATATATATATATATATATATATATATATATATATATATATATATATATATATATATATATATATATATATATATATATATATATATATATTATATATATATGAATTCAAAGGATATCGGGTAGCGGTCCGTGGTTAAGAGAAAAAAAAAACAAAGAAAATAGAAAGCTCCTTTTTTCGTGAATTTATTTGTTGACTTCTTCAGGAGTGAACTAAAATTTAATGAAAACAACAGGTCAACCTATATAACAGACAATTAAAACAATCGTGAGAAATACTTACAAAATTAGAGTCTACCACATAGTTCCTCAAAAACCATACTTTACAGTTAAGGTAAATGAACGAAGCGACATAATGAAACAAACGGATAAACACTTAGTATACAATTCTTAATAATGGTAGGCAAAAGTTATATATATATATATATATATATATATATATATATATATATATATATATATATATATATATATACATTTGATTTTAATTTGCAACCATAATGTGTCCCGCTTGACTGCACTATTATTTTATGCAAGTAGTGCTCATCAAGTAGACATTGGCGACACCTGAGGAAATTCTATAAGTCATATTTCTCCATAAATGTGCAGTTAGTGTGTGATTGTGATTGTAGCGTGTTGGCCAGGATCTGCCCACGATGCCACAATTTTTAACAATAGCCGATTAATAACAAGATTTGAAGCTGGTAAATTTGGAAATGGCATCGTAATTGGTAAGACTGTTGAGTTTTTTGATACTGTTTAGGTATGATCATGGTTTCTAGTTGATAGTGGATATGCACTAAGGCATATTTAATTATTCTACTTGGGAATCCTATAACATATGCAGAACAGCTTTTCAATGAATCCCCTATTTGTACAAGAAACTGTGAAAATGAAAGTTTCCAGCTCTCTGTTATGAACTTCAATGCAGTCTTAGTAATGCATTAAGTGTGATTGTTGCTACTACAGCAGTGTTGCATAATATTGCCTTAACAATGTACGAAAATGTTCAACTTCCTCCTTTAGGCGTAAATGCTGACAAATTACAATATTTGATTGACCTAAAAGAAGTACCTGCTATCAACTTGCATCAGTGACATGTGATGTGTGATTTTATAAATGTTATAAACAACCATTTTGCAAACTTGTAAGGTATTTGTAATTTAATCTTATTTTGTATATTTATTTTTTGTTAAATAAAGTACTTTTAACTATTTCTGTTTTAACTAGTTTGGTTTTGACTTCAAATTTTCAGATTATTTTATAAAGCCACAATATTTCCTTTTTATAGGGATTTTATTCCATACTTAGAATACCAAATATAACTTCAACATGAGTGCCACTTTTTTCACAAATTTTTAAATAGTTTATAGTCTCTTGGTGCTTTCCTGTTTGCCCTATTTTGTAAGTGATAGTTACTGAGGTGCTTTTACTCTACAATTAATACAAAATATATTTTTAAAAAATCAAACTTCCATAACAGAGCCAAAAAAATATATTTTTAAAATACATTGTTAAACATTTAGAATGCTGCAGTAATGTATTCAAACACAACTTCCTGGCTAACACTTTCATTATCTCTAATTGTTATGACCTGACTATCATCAAAATGATTTTCCAGCCCCATTATTTATAATTGACATAATGTCATCTGTCATCATTTTTTATTTTTGTAGCGGGTCCACCACCAGTAAGCATAGTTTCCATGCGTTCTTCAGTTAAAGATTTCCTCTGTTCCTTTTTACGATTTTCATAGCACTTTTTTAAAGAAACGGCACTCCTGTTGGTTGAGCTATTAGCATTAAATTCTTTTTCAATTTCTTGCCATGCTTTCTCTTTCGTTGCTGTAGAGGCTTATCGGTTTTTTATCTTCCAAGATGTCTCCATATTTATTAGCAATTATATTTGCCATTAACTGTGAAGTTGAAGTTGGAAACACGAGTTTTGTGATTATCACTCATTTTATTTTTCTTTTTTTTTTGAGCAAAATTAATTTTCCAACTACACAATGACAAGATAAAACCCCTTGAACTTATTAAAGTAAAAAACACAAAAAGAAAGTTTTTTTTTTAATTACGCTTTTTATTGGCCATTGCCGCTAAGGCAATTCGGCCAGCTTCTCGGTAGTGTGTGCAATAAACTATTTCCATGAAGGATGCCTCCGTAAAGAGGGTCTGGGTGATACCATCATCCCACGGTGCGGCTAAACAGCGAAAAAAAAATAAACGAAAGAATTAGAAAATGTGAAAACAATATTCAAAGTTTTAATCCACATGCATCTAAAAAGCGACAAACAATTCTAGCAGCAAAATCCAACACAGTGCGGTGAAACAAAATGGAATTACTATGCAGGGCCAACGGAAAATTAGCACTAATGAGTGACTCATACAACTGTTGTGATTTTTCCCAATGAAGAGCACAGTCAAACAGCACATGACTTAAATCGCCCAGTTCTCCATATTCACAGTCTCCGGAGAGTTTGACTTTAATTCTATTTAGGTGAGCCGGAGAACAGCAATGGTTGCTTCTCAGTCTACACGTAGTTGTGATTTCTCTTCTTTTCAGATCCAGCTTATGAAACCAGGGTATAGATGGCAGAGTAGAAAAATGTGAGGTGAAATTAACTCCTTCCCCTAATCCTATATATTTCTATCTGTCACTCCAAGTATTCCAGATGTTATGCTTTAATTTAGTCAATCTGGTCAGCAATATCGTTTTCTTTTATACTAGTATGGCTTGGTATCGAGCATAGTTGGATGTCCTTATTTTGAGTTTTTATTAAGGTAATTAGTTTATTTTTAACCGTCAAGATTAGGTAGTTAGACTTAGCATCCATCTCAGTTTTATTGATATCTTAGAGGGCACTTTTGGAGTCTGAAAGGCTCTTTGTTGATGTCATTGAATTCAATCCAATCCAGAGCTTGAAAAATAGCATAAATCTCGGCAGAGGAAATGGATAGATCACTTGGCAGGCCTTGTCCCACTTTAAGGTTCGTATTGTAGTTGTAACCACCAAAACCTACACGGCCTTCTTTATCCTTTGAGGCGTCTGTAAAAATTAGATGAAAATCAGGCGCCCAAGTCTCACTCCTCTTAATTTCAAATAATTTGGAGTTATTACTATCTTTCTTTAGTTTTAAGTTCTGGATTTGAACAGAGCTTAAGAGGTTCGGCAATGGACAAGAGAAACAGGGATAGACTGGGCTCCTGTAGAGTGTATCTAACAGTAAATCAACTCTTTCAAAAGCATCCACAAGTGCGGAAATACTTTTTCTCCGAAAAAAGTAATAGTGTTCATTATAGGTGATATATAACCGTCTAACTGTTATTAAGGTTTCACTGCCCACTAAACTGGCGGCTTTCAATAATGATTTACCCGCTAGCATGTATCTTCTGTGTTCTCAATCCATTTCACTTGCTTCCCCTATAAGTATGTTAGTAGGTGTGGACTTCATATATCCCAGAGGTATTCTCAGTGCCTCAAATTGAATTTTGTTTAATTGAGCAATTGACTTTCTAGAACTACCATCCAAAAAAGAGGCTCCCTATTCCAAATGGGGTCTGAGATAAGCTTTGTAAAAGGTTAGAAGGGTAGAGGGATGTGCCCCCCCACCAGATTCTATTTATAAATCGCATCATATTCAACCCACCTGAAGCTTTCTATATCATGTTTCTAATTTGTGGCTTCCATGACAGTTTTGGATCAAAAATCACTCCTAGATATGTGATGGAATTTCTCCATGCTATGGTTCGAGTGTTGAGGTGGAGTCTGAGGAGATAATTAACATTGTAATTCTTCCTGGAAAAAAATGTAGCTGCAGATTTATTGGGGTTCATCTCAAGTCCTACATTCAAAGACCAAATATGTATATTTTGCAAAGTTCTATTCAAATTATTCATTCATTGTTTGGGCACCAATCCCAGTACTCAGCAAGGCAGTATTGCAAACTGTAAAAGTCTTATGTTCTCAGGAATTGTTTCTTTAATTGAATCGATGTAAATGTTAAATAGTAATGGAGAAGAAGGGGAACCTTGAGGCACCCCTTTGCTGGTTGTTCTACCTGACACAAATGTATTAGTAGACCGAACTTTAACTTGTATCTTCCTGTTCGTGAGAAAATCTTAAATAAGCAAAGTCAAATCTCTGGCTATTCCAATTTTGGCCAGCACAGGTCAATAAGTCAACATTTATATTATCGTAGTTGGATATATCCAGCGTCACCATTGCTGCTAGTTGATTGCGAGCCAAATGGCAGAGAACCTCTGAGGAGATGAATGCAAGTTTGTCGAAAGTTTCCTTACCCTTTCTGAATCCAGTTTGGGGAACGTCGGTTCTCTACGAACCATTCTAGTCTTTTTTTGATCATAATTTCAAAAGTTTTGCGTATGCAAGAAGCTAGATTGATGGGCCTGTAGGAAGATAATGTTAAAGGAGGTCTCTCCCCGGTTTAGGAATTGCTATCACCATTTGGGTTTTCCACGTCTCTGGAATGGTAGTTCCCTCCGAAATATTTTGTTGAAAAAATTAATTAGAAAGACTGCTCCTTCAAGAGGGAGATGACTGAGCACACTGAAAGGCACTTTATCCACACTGGGACTCTTGCTCTTCCGACCTTTAACAGCAGCGACAAATTCTGAGATATGGAACTCTTCTGTATATTCTGATGAGAAATGACATTCGGGGATGTTACGCAACATAGAGGGAGGTTGAGTCGAAAGATCAAACATATCTTGTGGGATTGAGAAGTTCAAGGGAAAATGATGATTTTGGTACATGGTAACTTCTTTTGCACTAGTATTTGGAGATAGATTCCCACAAAAGTTGACAAAGCATTCCTTTTTCTTCCTACATAGCAGCTGTCTTGTTTGTGCCCGGGTCCTTAATGATTCCAGGTAGTTGGTCTCAGAGGGGTTGATTTCATAATCTCTGAATGCTTGTGTTTTCCCTTTAATGGCGTTGGTGCACTCATTATCCCACCAAGGTCACCCGTAGTTTAACGGGTGTTTATGCATTGGAACAGATTCTGCAATAGATAAGAAAATTGCATTCATAAAATCCTCATAATTTATAGGAAGTGAAGTTCTAAATTTCGAAGAGATTAAATCAGAAAATTTCTTTATTGAAATTATATTTGCTAGTGTAGTTTCTTGCATGCACAAAATAAGAAAATGATCGCTATTCACTCTATCCTGGAGAACCCTGGAGTCAGAAAGTCCAGACAGTCTCTGAACCACATCATTAAGTACACACAAATAGTGATCCTTAATGAAATCATAAAGAATGTTACCACTTCTAATTCCCTGTGAGTAGCTGACCTGGGAACCACATATTGGATTATGGGCATTAAAATCTTCCATAAAGAGGACTGGTTTATTACGGGTTAGATCGAAAATTGAATCCAGGCTTTCCCTGAACAAACAAATATCTGGAGGGTCGTAAACACAGCAAATAAAAAAATCTTCAAGTTCTGCAAGAATAACCTGACACCTCTCTGGTATATTGATTCTGCTCAAGTCGATGATATTATATTTTATTTTGTTTTTCAAGAAAATTGCTATACCATCTGCACCATTAGGTTTGTCAGCTCTTACAGAAGAGAACCCTGATATTTTAAAGTTGGTGTTGGGTTTAAGTAAGGTTTTGTTGAGCATTAAGATCTGTAGCCTAAAATCCCTTATAAGTCTAAAGATAGCACCTTTATTTTTTTTCAGCCCCGCAAATGTTCCAATTAGCAATATTCATTATACCTCAACTATACCTCGTTTGTGTGTAAAACTATTAGATTAAAACTAGTAGTAAGAATACCTTTTCTTCTTCCAACCCCTGTAGGTAACCCGCTGCCATCACAGCAGCCCCCCCTCCATAGGCCAAGAGAAACAAAATATTGTTTGATATTGTTGACACAATTTTCATCCATATCCTTTATTGACGTGATGTCTTTTTTGAAAGCTTCAAACCTATTGCAGACTTCTTCCCAGCCATTTCCTAGAGGGGTTACTTCCATTTCTGACTCTGATGTCGAATTTTCGCCTACTTGTATATATGAGACTTCTTGCACTGAGGGTAACAAAATTTGTTCATGGGCTATTTTATCATACCCTTTGATGCATTGTGTGTCAGACCGTTTTCTTTTAAGTACTGATGTATATGAGGAACTGCCCTGAGGAGTTTTATTCTGAGTTTTCCTATTTAAACTAGGAAAATTTTCTGGTTTTCAGGTGAAGTCTTGGTTTGCATTAATTAACCGCAGATGCAGTTTAGCTGCTTCATAAAAAGAAAGGTTGTAGAAGCTCATGGTTTTATTCATTTGTTTTTATCGTTTGTACACAGCTTGGTTTTGGATTTACTTCAGAATTTGGAATTTTACACGTTTTGGTCAGGTTGTTTGTTAAGATCATCTGCACCCCATTTGATTTTTTTCATTGCTTGCTCTCTTTTTTCACAAACAAACATAACATGATCTTGGGTACACAGACCACAAACAGGCTTGCCTCTACAATTATTTTTGACATGTCGAAATCTGCAACAATTGACGCACATTATAACACGGTTAACATATTTTGCCACTTTTCTTTCATTATCAAAAATATTTACAGTTTGGGGTAATGATTTGCCTTCAAATGTTACAATATAATCGTTTGTGGGGATGGTTTTCATTACTTTTTCGCCAGAAATAGCAAGTACTTTCTTCCTTCTTAAGACTCTTTTTACATTTAATATCTTGATTTCTCCTGTATAAGTTACCACTTCTGCGTAAAAATCCTCCTCCGTAATTTGGTCCCCTACATCCTTGATTAGTCCTCTACAAGGGACAAAGACGTTGTGGAATGTTCCTATTATAGCCTCTAGCGGAACTGAAACTTTCATTTGACAAAAACTGATTAGCATACTCTGATGTTCTGAATTCAATTCCAATTTTATTAGCCCCTTTTCTATTGATTTTAGTTATACCTTGGATTCCAGCTCTGTGTAAGATTTTTCCAACATTTTTCGGGTAAATGTTTCCAACTTGAGAAGTTATTCCCTCCATTATGGTAAGGAATGGCCCCTGGTCTGTAAGCTCATATTTATACTTTTAGTTAAGTGTCCTCCTTATGTTGACTGAAATTCTTGCAATTTCGTTTAGAGCATCCTGATCTTCCACGAAGACAGATTTAAGCTTTCGTAACTCTCTTCAATAAATCTATTTCCTCCTTAGTGGGTACTAAGAATTACTGATGCTGGGCGATAGCATGTGCTGTTTTCTTAGCGAAAGGCGAAAGCGCCAAGGCTGATTAAGAACCACTGCTAGAGGAAGTAGAAGCTTGGGACAAGTTTAGTTGAGCTTGAAAGGAATCAAAATCATTTGCGGACTATTAACTACGCTACGATCGTTTCTATCCGGGAGCTCTTTACCCCCCACATGCCATGTTATGAAAAGCGCCAAATTATTGCGAACTGCGACATCAAACCAAGCCAAATATAAAACTCGCCCAGACAGAAAAATTCAGTTGAAGACTAGAATTACGCCAAAAAGATGAAAATTTTCTCAGACCCAGGTAAAACTGTGCACACCACTTCACCTGGTTGACCAAAATTCAATTCATTAATGCGTTTCACAAAAAATGTTGGGCTAAATTACTAGGATCATTCGCCCATTGCCGATTTCCGTCGAGGATTTTCGTATTTTCTTCAGAGGAGGAGACTAAATTTTGAAGTTCTAAATGTCGAGGTTTTTCGGATCTTCTCTAGCAAAGGAGACTGATTTTTGAAGTTCCAAATGTCGAGGATTTTCGGATCTTCTCCAGCGAAGAAGACAAAACTTTGAAGTTCCAAATGTCGAAGATTTTCGGATCTTCTCCAGCGAAGGAGACTAAACTTTAAAGTTCTAAATGTTGAGGTTTTTCAGATCTCTAGCGAATGAGACTGATCTTTGAAGGTTGACCAAAAAAAAAAGAAAGGTTCTCTTTCTCCATGACATTTCTTGGCCAAGTTTGCTATGATTACTTGGCCACTTACGAATATAGTTCAATGTTTTCTTTATAAAGGGACTGGCCGGATCCATCTCCCTCCGAGTGGGGCGGAAACAACAATTGGAACACTATTCAAAATTTTTTAACCGATTGAAAAAAACGGCCTCCCCCGATTCCTCCGCAGGCCATCCGGGCCCATCCCGCATCCATACCGGAGTGAACACGAAAAAACGACGGGGCCGCCAAAGATTATAACTGTAAAACATTCATTGAAAACTAAAAACACTAGATCCACACAGCGGAAACCGATTTTAAAATTTTGGGGACGATTACAAGGGATTCTATCGGGAGTGAACGGAGGTTAAACCTCCATGTGCAATGCTCACGACTGAACCTCAAAAAAGACAGCTTATACTATGTGTGTTTTTTTTCGCTTGTTTGTCATTCTGTCGCCGAAATTTTTCGGCGTTGTCAAGTTTATTTAAGTTTAGTAAAGCCTAGCTTAATTCTTTACAAGGAATGGCTTTTTTAAGCCCAGCTATGTATTGAAACAAAGCTTAGCTAAGCCCTGGTTAAGTCCTCAATCGGGGAATATAGTCAATAAGATTATGTACCTTAGATGGGAATTTTTGTTTTTCAAATATGAAATGTTAAACAATATACTATGCTTCTGTCAAATTAAAAAAAAAACAAAGAAAAACATCAGCTTGTGCTCATGTTGTCATTGCAGATAATCAAATTAATATATGTTTTATAAGAGGTAATTTTCTAACGCAATGACCTCAGCGCTTTATTTGGAGCACTACCTGGACAGTCTAGAACACTTACCTAATGAACTACAGCGTAATTTCAATTTAATGAGTGAACTGGACAAAAGGGCGCAAGGCCTTATGAAAAATATCGACGCACTAGCCGACAAATATCTACGAAATTTAAAATCCTTAAACACTGATCAAAGGAAAGAACAATTAGATAAAATACAAAACATGTTTAATAAGGCAAAAGAACTGGGTGATGATAAGGTGCAGTTAGCAATTCAGACCTACGAACTTGTTGATAAACATATTAGGCGTTTGGATAATGACTTGGCTAGGTTTGAATCTGAAATTCAAGATAAGGCATTAAATTCTAGAATACCAGAAGAACCCAATGTTGGTAAAAAGGGTAGAAAGAAAATTAAAGAAAGTAAAACTGATAAGAAGAAAAGGTCTGGCAATTCTAGTGAGGAAGATTCTTCGGGAACTGTTAGAGGCAATAAGAAAAAAAAACAAAAAGGTGTAGGATCTGATAAAGGTGGAAGTGGAGCCACTTCTGGTAAAGCTAGTGCCAATGAAGTTGCAGAAGCAGTTGCATCAGTTTTACCTGGCCTGGCCGGTATTGCTCATCCAAGTGACGTTTTGGATATGCCTGTTGACCCCAATGAACCAACATACTGTCTGTGCCATCAAGTGTCTTATGGAGAAATGATCGGTTGCGATAATCCTGATTGTCCCATTGAATGGTTCCATTTTGCCTGTGTTGGATTGACCACCAAACCTAAGGGCAAATGGTATTGCCCAAAGTGTTCTCAAGATAGGAAAAAAAAATAGTCACTTCTAAAAGATCATTCCCAGTTAAATATTTAATAAAACCACAATGAACATACATATGTTTTTATATTTTTTCTTAAATATTTATTATTTTTGTTAATTAGTCTTATAATTTAAAAATCAAGACATTGGAATTTATATTTTTGAATCGTAAAATATTTTATTAATTTTGTGATTCACTTAATATTTTAGTGTAAAAATAAATTTTCTTCGAAACAATTTGTAATATTGTTGTTTTATTTGGTTAGTTTCTGACTTGTTGTCCTTAGTCTATAGGCTAATTAAATAACTTATTCAATCTTGGTAGGGAGGAGTCTTTAAATTGATTTCCAAGTGTAAGCATTGAAAATGGCAAGTGAGATCTTATCCATTATCCATTTCTGGTAAACAATATATTGTGTTAAATTTCGTTATTAACTCATTTGTCAGTTTCATGGCTCATAATAATTAATTATAATAAACAGAATAAACAAGCTAATGATTTATTTTTCTAAGGTCATAATAATGATAATGTTTTAAATATAAACAAATTTTAACTATATGATAATCAACTATAATAACAAAAAGTGAAAGGTTAAATAAAAATTATGATTATTGTATTGTCAATAGAACTTAAATATGCACTATTTGAAAGCACCTTCAAAAATTGAATAGTAGAGCAGATGCAGGCTTAGGGCACATAAAAGTTATCAAATTTTCTCATAAATTATTAATTTATATAGATATCTTAAAAGTTGTGATGAATTTCAATTTCCTGTAATTATATCAATATCACACAACAAAATAAGATTTAGAGACCAGTTTTAAACAAAAAAAAAGTATGGTTATAAACTGACAATTCTACCTTATTTAATTTACACCACTTTTGCAGCGGGCAGAACAAATTTTATTATTATTAATAAGGTTGAAACCACCTCTTATTTTTTATAAGAGTAGATTCTCCATTTTCGGATTTAATTGTACTAGAATTATCCACTTCTGCTAACTTCCTTTGCAACAAACACATTTTATGATAAAGGCTTCTATAGTTGAGATTTCTGGGACAAAGTTTTTCACCATCTTTTGAGGCCACTTGAGGAACCCCATAAATGTTTGACCTTGCACCTTCACCAACTGCAGTAAAATGTGTTGATTGTGGTTTTTGTGAAGTTAGAAACAATGTAGGCACAGCAGTCTTTTTGAGCATTTTCTTTAACGGCAAACCTACAAACAGGTAGAAAAAAAATGCACAATTAATTGCATTATGTTCTGAAAAGAATTTTGAGGTTCATTTAGGCATATGTGTTATGTATCTTTTAAAGTAGAGTCCTAATTTTAACTGAACTCCTCAGTAGGATTAGACTACAAGTTAGCTTTTTTAGTAAATGACATCCCTATAATACCTTTTATAGTTTAAACAAGAATCAATATTTACATTTTTTATACACATATTTGAAACACAATTGATAAATAGCAAAACGAATAATTTCCCCACATCTCATTCTTGGAAAACTTTAAATTAACAAGATTTTTAAATAATAAATATGTAGAACAAAATCATTTCTACAGAATTTTCATAGCTATTTTTAGTCTAAAATCTAGTATTTTTTACCTTATAATACTCAGCCAATAACATTACACTCGTACTTACCCAATAGTTCATTCTGAAAGTCCCTTTTAAAGTCCTGATCAGAAAAATGTATGGAACATACACGAGTTAAGTCTGGATTAAAGTCGCCAAGCCGATTGCAACTTTCAATCCATTCCTCGCGAATTGCCTTGGTGGTCAGGTCAACCGCTTTCGGAAATGGAAAAAACTTGATGTTATCTCCATTCTTTTTGGCATTCACAAAACTGTTATTACAACCAAATACTGCACAGCGGATGCCAGGCATATTTAGAAGAAAATGAAATCAAAATAAAAAATGTTTGAGGTTACTTAAAAATCATCCTTAACATTTGGCTTCGCGCAATGGGTAAAGTACTTTTATCTATGCCATTTATTTACGCTAATTTGGTGGGAGCGCCTATACCGCAATGACGTCACGATCCCACACAAAACAACTTTATTTGTAGCAATATATCATAAAAAATAAAGCAATACAAATTTAACGTCAAAAGCAGATTGCTGCTGCAGAACAATGTAGCTGATACCCAATGGTTGGTTGAGTGCCATAACATTTCGCACAACGCCCTTTGCAATGGGCAAGATCTGGCAACCATGGCGCCAATGGGGAAGAACAATATCATTACCAAAGGGCTAAGTCAACGAGTTGGTCTGTTTAAGTGGCCTCCAGAACTATGTGGAAAATTAAAGATATGTTAATTGGTCAAAAAATAGTAGAATTCATAAGTTGCATTTCTTTTGCCCATTAACCAGAGCAATCAAATTTGCATTATTTTTGTAGCTTTCATATTAAGGTGGTGTAGTTAAACAAAGCTATCTAGGGTTAGTAGTTATTATTCGTGACTTGACCATCCCCCGTCCCCCGGGGGAGATTTTGTGATTGCAAATTTACAGATTCCCAAGCAACCGAAAAAAAAAATTAGTTTGACCATTCTACGAGAGATGTCGCCACCCATTAAGAGCTCAGGTTTCGATCGCCAGATGTCACCCTTAATGGGGGGTAGGGGGTAGTTTTCGCGTTAGTGCCTTTTTGGCAATTTCGCCCCGCTAGGGGTAGTTTTTGCGTTAGTGCCTTTTTGTTTTGACGTATTTTTGCGCGAGGTGAAAAAAACGACCGGTGTGTCGCGCGCGGTCGGGGGATTCGAACCTCGAACCCCGCGCGCTACGTTAGTCGAGCCTAGCCGAGCCTAGCCGACGACGATTTCGCGGCGGCGGCGACGATAAGAGAATTCAACTAATAAAAGGTCGTCGAGGTCGCTTAAAATATAATAATTTATTGACAACATTTTTTTTTGCGGATTAAATAAAATGCAACAGGGAAAAAGACGTTTAATGACACTAATATCGAACAAATTGTTTTATTAATCATATACAAAACCTCATCAGGATAGACACATATTAATAAATATATTCGAACGATATGCATATATAAATAGCATATATGGACATAAATAGATACATAAATTAAACACAAATATAAACTACAATCATCTAAAGGAATCGTAACATATTAGTTTGCCAAAAGAAATATCTGGTGGTCGATCAATCAGTGATTTTCCCGCTGTCCTTTGAACCAACTAAATTTCGATGGCCCCAAGCTAGCGTGTACTCTGAGCCGGGTATAAGATGTCGTTTGTCATCCGCGTAAGACAACGCCACCTTATTTTTCAGTTCGACGTACATATCATGTAAATGTGAGCGAAACGAAGACATTTGGCGCAAGATTAGCGTGCCTTCCTCGTGGACAGCGCGCTTATAGTCGTCGAGACTAAGTTCGCGCTGGCTGACCGAGTCAGCAACGCCCTTGGCCTTTTTGGTCAACTCGTTGCCGTCCACATTTACGCAATAAGCTTTCGCTCCCGTACCCAAGAATTCCAACAACGGCCGTCCTGCGTACTCGTCCTTCATTTTACCAAGAACGGACTTGTTTACAGGAATGCCGTGTTGGTTGTTCTCCGAGTAATTAGAAGTATCGAATTTGTCCAAATTTTCTTTCATATCTTCGTATAAATTTTCGCAAAAAATTTGGACAACGAGGCTGTCGGTATCGGTGTAGAGTAAGACGGCTTTGTCGCCGTACTTAGCCTTTAGATAGCCGTAAAAAAAGTCGTATATGAGAGTCTTGGATATGTCCAAAATGCAAAATCCGGCGTAAATAGGCTTATCATATACGACTTTAGTCCTTTCCATCTGGAGAGCTACTAGATTTTCGCTAAATATGGCGACATTTTTAAAATTAGGTCTCGCGATTAACGCTTCTGCCCCCAACCTTTTCCCAATATTTTCCCAATGGGAAACGAGCCGCACGTCCACCCTTTTGTCCACATTTTCCATCGTTTTTCCAAACACAGCGTTATTCATAAGTTTGAAAAAATCTTTTTCAAACTTATTTTTAGCTGTATTACGCATCGCCGTATTCAAGTCTATGTATTGTTTTAGCCAGGGAGATTGATCGAAAACAAGAACGCGATGGATGCGAACAAGCTTTAAACCGTTGCTTAAAGCCTGTTGCAGATTCCTATAATGCAATACATAATTACGTTTATTGTTTAAATTTGGAATAAGTTTTCTCATTTTGGTTTTCGCGATTGGCGAAACGATGGATTCCGGGCAAAAAGGCAGTTCGTTGTGTGCGTCATGCAGCACTTCCGGATAGTCCAAATCTACTTCGAAAATATAGCCCCTAGGTGAATCGTTGGGGATACGCGTAATATCTAAATTTTGAATTTTGCCCTCCTCCAACCACTCGAAGTTTCCCGTTGGGAGGTATTGTGACATGGCCGCCCCGTATAAATTGGTAGCGTCCAAGTACATGACGTAAGAGATAGGTTTGGAAGGGTCGTAATTAGGTAAAAATTTATTATTAGCCGCGGCCTTTCTCACACTACACTGACTGACTCCTCCGCGGATACCGTGCTTCAAGAAGTGTATCATGTCCACGTCGGTCAACAGGTCCAGTTCGACCTTTGTCGCCTTCAGGGCGCTCGTCCATGATAGACCCGGTGTCGTATAAAACTGACTCGGGTCCAGACCGTACGTTTTCAGACACACCTCTCTGAAGTTTTCAAAAATATCGGCTAAAAGTAAAACGTCGGATTTTAAATAAATATCTGAATATTCGCCTAAAGTTTTACATTTGAACAAATTCCACACAGTCCAGGCACGCTTGTAATCCTCCCTGGTTATGTTGCTCTTTCGCATGGAGTCATAAAAGTCCTCGTGCGATGGCAGTTTGGTTTCGTCTAATTTTGAAAAAGAATCTAGATACGTATATGGAAAAACGCCCTTCTGTCGAATAAGTTGAAATTCTTGTTCATTTTTAAAAAATTTGTTGACTTCCCGACACTGACTATCGTTCAAATTTCGACTCAATCTGTCCAAACTGGATGCCATAAATCGAAATGAATCTAAAAATCGGAGTTTTAAAAATACCCTTTTCCCTTTGCCTCCTTTCTCCGACTCAATGTTATCGACTAGGACATGTTTCGTAAAGGAAATGTAACGTTCCTTGTTTTGGGCGATGACATCGATCTTTTCCCCTTCTTCAGCCATAAATTTTACAAATAAATGACTGTCGAAACCTAAATGGTGAAAAAAGACAGGGATGTGCCGCGGAACTTTGAAATTCAAGTTGCAAGTGGAGTGAGCCGCACCTCGAAATTCGCCCGTCATATGACAATGATCCCTTACTTTTTCGTCCTCTGCATTAAATGGCTTCTCGCAAATGTGACAAGCCGCAGCGTTTCGAAAGCCGGTCTCTTGTTCAAACGATAGAGTGGTCATGGGCACGGAAGTTTTCATGAACTTGTTGTAGAGCGCTTTGCAGTCGCTCTCCAACCATTCAATGAAAATTTTGTGTGCGCCCCGACCTCTGTACTGTTTAAAAGTAGACTGGGAATCGTCAAAGTCACATTTGACATAGTAGGCGAAAGAGTAAGGCTCGTGAATATGAGTTTTGACGGTAAACGATTTGTTGGGATTCGGTTCGCCTTCCACCTGTAAAGGAGTCATGACTGTTTCAAAGTCCGCGTACACAACAAAAGGAACTTTTAATTTCTTTTCAAATTCTTCAAATTTCAGCTTATTCGCGGGAACATCTTTACCGTATTTATCCTTGCGCAATTCGGTGGTCGGAAGTTTGATGGAAATGTGAGTGCAGTCGTGTTCTTTATGACGCTTTAGTTTTTCTTCGTTATAAAAATAAACCAAACACCCATCGCATAAAAACTTTGTAGAGGACCTTTTAGTTAATTGTTTTGAAACCAACCGAGACATACTTCTTATTAAACAATAATGATTTTCTCCATAGTCATTACTAATTAATAATAGGTTTACATGTCTCTCTTTACGAGATTCAGTAAAATGCAAAGGACCAACGACCTCAACATCATTACGGACTTTGTTATAGACTCTCTCGAGGCCATAGACATTGACCGAAATTTCATTAAGTCGTTCAAAAGTGGATATGTCCTTAAGTTTAACGGGAAAATCGATACCTGTAAAATCCAGCTCGTTCTGAAATTCTACATAGTTACTGACCCTGTTAGCGTTATTTGTCCAGTGAATTGGGTGAAGAGCAGCCAAGATCGACCACATAAAGCATTTTTCGTCCGTATTTTGCAAGTTCAAAACAGCTTTTTTGGCTTCGATTTCCTTGGGCAGGCTAACATAGGACGACGCCCTTAGGGGATTGTACTTGTTAATCCCTATTTCTAAATGGAGAAGTTCCTCCAACGCCCAGCCTGTAAAAAAGAGAAAGAAATTAGTTCGGAAATATACATTTTTATGAATCATACCGCTGTCCCTTTCCTGAAACTCGGACGCTTTGGTAGCCAAGATGTCGACGAACTGGACGTATAGCTCCTCCAGATCGGTGTTTCCGCTCACCAGCCGATATTTGGTATTGATATTGGACTTGACCTCCTCTTGTTCCTTCGTCTGCAAGAGGAAGTTTCCGAATAGCTCCATACCGACTTTTACGTTGCCGTAGCGTCGGACGTTCGACTCTACCAACGTAAGGATTTTGGACCTAAGGTGGTCCAAGAAGCCCTTAACGTCGGTAGGGTTAACGGTGGACGCCAGACGGTATGTAACTATGCGGTTACGGAAGGAGGTCTGTATCATTTCTACTCCTGGCTCCTGCACCACGCGTCGGAGAGCCCCCTCGGATTTGTATATCCCGCCGCAAACGTCACAAATTTGTACTGCTGCGCGACAGTCCCCGTGCCTCGCCAGGTGGTCTTTACGGCTGAACAAGCGGTTGCAATATTCGCAGGTGAACATTTTTATTTGCTGCGAGGAATAGGCGTCTCACTCTCCAACTGTTCCAGATCTCTACTTGACACTTACCTTTTTTAAGTGGTGAAACACAAACAAAAATCCAAAGAATGAAGTCTCACTATGGCGGCGGTCACTTGTTAATTAAGCCAATTTTTCTGGGGTAATGAATTTAAAATTACATTCGAGAACGTTCCTTCAGAATAATTAAGATTTGTGTTGGCGAGAATTGCGCAATATAACGCGACCCGCTGATAAAATTGGTCGTAGTTAGCGACCTAACCTAACCAAACCGTCGTCGTATGGGGCCGCTTCGCTTCGAAACTCGACCGTTGGTCGCGGCGTGAATGTAAATTGCAGCGCGATTGTGTGCGATGACTCAGGCGTACCGCCGCCGTCGCGTTTGACAACTGGCTGATATCATTGCCCGCCCCGTCGCCGGTGTGCGGCAGCGGATGCATGACATCATCGCTTTGCGAAATGTTTAAACTAAACTTTGGCGGGTGAGATCATCGCGTCGCCTGCCTTCGCCGCAAAAAAAAAATGTTTTAAACGAGACTTTCATATTAGACCGCTTAGGAACGGCATACGTGTTTTCCTGCGACACAAGAAATGGTTTAATCGAAACGTTTGATATTCTTACCGCATGCGTTTCCTTCGACATCGAGTTTATCGTCGCATTTCCTTCGACGCGAACAAAAACGCAAAAAAAAATCTCACTCCGTAATTTCATTTTGTCAGTATGTTATACTTTGCGTCACCAAAAATAATTGTTCGATCGCAATGCGAAATAAACATTCCTGTTTAAAGAAGCAAAATGGTCCATATCTGTGTCGGACCTGTAGAAACCTGTTCCGTAGAGGTTTTGGGTCTGTTTAAGGCTGTCCTAGACCTGTTCGAGAGCTGTTCCATAGATATTTTAGACCTAATTTAAATCTGACCAAAAGCGTCCTGGCTAACATTTGAAATAAAATGAAAATATTTTAACGCGATTTTATTTTTATATCAAAATACAGTTACTGAATATTTTTTCATTTTTATACAATATGTCCTGGAGCCAAATTTTGGAAATATCCGATTTTTGCTTTGTATTCTTCCGCACGTAAGCGCAGTATTTGGAGATCGGCCTGAACAACTGCTATCTGAGTTTCGAGCTGCTGGATACCTTCTTCACATTGCATCAGCTGATTTTCCAAATTGTTTTTCAAATTGAACGCCTCACAAACTATCCTTTTTTCGTTGTCATCTTTGAACGCCTCGAACCATTCTCCTTGTGCTTGCGGTAGAGATTCAATTTTTATTTTCTTAACTCGTGAATTTGCAGCAGTACGCTTACGTTTTGGAATATCTGTTGGTGGCTGCGAAGGCGGTGGACCCATCAAACCATTCTCTTGCAATAAATTTAAAAAATTATCCGGCAACACAATTTGTTCCATGTCTGTTTCGGACGCTCACAAAATCAAAAATAATAGAAGAAATTTATAGGATATTCGCGGTGTCGATCCATGAATCATGTGACTTGTCCAAGCCCAACCAGCGCACGAGAACCTTATTTCCTCGTTTGCGCAACACCTTTTGGACGAGATAGACGTCAGGGTTAACGGTTTTCTGCAATTCTTCCTGGTAAAAAGCGCCCATTACAGGCTTACCCTTCATATCTTCCAACAGATAAGTTACCGGATTTGTAATCTGCACTTTTACGATTTTAAACAATTCCGTGGTCCAGTTGGGAGTATAACCTTTGCTAAACACGTGCTTGGTCTTGCTGATTCTTACAACGTCGTCCAGTTTAAGTTTAGATGGTCCTACAATTTTCAAGTGACTGTACGCTGATTTCAGCAAACTACGCGCGTTATCTTTGTTCACTTCTTTAGGTTTCATTCCGGTGGTCCTGTGCACGCTACTGTTATATTTTTCGACAACAGAGGATAAAACATCTATCCATTTGTAGGTGCCGTTTAACGAAAAATATCTAAATAATTTTTCCTTGAGAGTACGTATAACTCTCTCGGCTACGGCAGCTTTCACGTTGCTATATGTACTGTAGTGATTTATGTCAAACCTACCCGTCATTTTTTTTAAATGGATATTATAAAACTCTTTGCCGAGATCAGTTTGCAGATTTTGCGGCCGGCGTCCTTCTTTGAGAATTTGGGTAAACGCTTTGGTAACTTCAACACCGGTTTTTGTTTTTAACGGTCGACACCACACGTATTTTGAAAAGCAATCGATCACGACTAGTATGAATTTAAAGTTTTTATTTTGTTTCGCATATCGGTCTAGCTGAGCCAAATCCGCTTGCCACAAATCATCCAGCCCTCGTATTATAGTTCTGCGACGCGCGTAATTTCTGCGTGCCGGCTTGTGCAGCTCTCGGACGAGTTGTGCTTTCTCACTGCTCATTACTTTGTCGATTGCCCGTCAATTTGAATTAAACACCATTTTAAATCATTCATTAGTTGTTGTCGCTAACTGATTTATTTGGTCCAAACTCGTATTGTATTTGTTCACCCATTGTGTATATCGGTTTTGTTGTGGCAAAAGTTTATTAACTTGGGAATTGATATCTGCCTGATAGCTCTTAAATGTCTTCTCAAGCACTTCTATTTTGGATAAATGTTTTTCCAACTCCTTCATTGAATTATCGTATTTCTCGTTAAGGTGGTGATTAATGTGTGTACCAAATTTATTAATAGTCATGACAGCGGTTGTTACTCAAATAATTTTCTAACTCTCAGTCGTGCTTATTTTATAAGATAACTTTTCCCTCTCTTAGTTCTTCAATAATTGAAGCTATTTCGTTCTCATGTCCCGTGTGCCCCGCAGCAGTAGATGCCAATAACAGTCTTAATCTATCGACAAGCTCGTTAACATTATCCCAATAAATATAATCTGTATTTTCTTTATTTGATTTTAAAGTTAACCCCGTCCCAGTTTTGATTGTCCTATAAGGCGGAGGCACTTTAGAAAATGCGTCAGCTAGTCGTCTCACCGGGTTTTTTGTTTTTGTTATTCCTCGCTCCTGTAAATAAGGTCCAATTATATTTATATATTTATATGATGCATTTCCTTGCACTTATCCATTAAGGTCATGGTTTCTCCGATACGCGTTTGTTCTTTTCAGTATATCCATATAATTATCTAGATCTTGCGATTTGAAACCGACCGGCACCTTCTTGAAAAGTAACTCATACAAACCCACAGTCCCAGGGTATGTAATACCTTGTACCTTCACATCTTTACCGACAATTTCCACAGCTTTTTGGGTTAAGCCCAGAAAAAAATTATCGTTTTCTATGTCATGAACGATACCATAATTATGGTCAAATATATGTTGGGTATCTTTTACGCTGTCATCAATGTATGTTCGTGGTAATTTATTAAAGTCATTCAACCATTGCTCGTAAGCGGGAGTGTCGACGTAATCCTGTATAGCTTGCTTAGTTTGTTCTAAAATATCTGACAGATTTCCCAACGTAGTATCGCTGTCCGAAAGACCCGTACTTTCAGCTACAACATTGCTTTGTTGTTGGATCGACGGAAAGGAGGTATCAAAAAATGAGGGCAATTCTGAAGGTAAGATTGGGGTTTTTCCGGTTCTTTTCTCCTTTATTTTGGTAGGCGTCAAGGTTAACACTTCATGTTTAATATTTTCTTTTTCTTCAAACGGTTCTTGTTTGATATCCGTTTTATTTATTGATGAAATTAATTGCTGCAGAGGCTGAGTTATCGGTTTATAGGTTTGTTCGAGTTGCGTCTGGGATTCACTTGCGGCTTGTTTTAGCCTTTGATATTTTTCTCTAACTGCGTTTCTTGATTTTATTAGCTCCGTCGCTAGGCGTTTATCCATTTTGGGATATTATATATAAATGAAGGAATCGAAGTTTTTCCTATATCTGCCCTTATCTAACTCACAATCTTTGTCAATCACAAGAAAATTATAAGGTTCGTTCCAGCAGTACACACAGATATTTCTAAACTGTTCAAATGACATGTCCAACATGCAGTGATCGTTATATATATGCTTTAAACTCATCATGTCTTGCTTGAATAAAATCAGAAGGTTGGCGTTTTCCCTGATAAGTCGCTTGAGTATAGAAGAATATCCTTGAAAAATAAAGAAACAATCGGTGTTTTTATGCCTACCGTGAGTGAAATAATCTCTAATGACACTTTGGTCGTGACAAGGAATATCATCAAATATTATAACAGAATTGGGTTTAATTTCCTGAGGAGAAACGATATTCTCATCGATCTCAAACTCAAAAAAGCCAATCTCTTGTAAAGGCTTTAGCAGTTCTCTCAAATACACGTATTTTGGCTGTTGCAGGGATTTGGAATATAAGTAAACGTTTTCAAATCTAATTCCATTAGGATGTTCGAGCAATGATAACATGACGTTGGTTTTACCCGAATTTGAGGGTCCTACAATTAGTGCCCTCTTGCAACTACCTCCAAAGAGATCGCCGTGCTTTTGAAATTCGCGGACCAAGCTTGCGTCGTGGTTTTTTACGGGTAAAGAAAAGGCTTGCTTAACAACTTTCATTTCGACTGAGGCATTAACAAGAACCTGCAAAAGTATTTATAGCATAATTCCTAAATATTTAAACAGTATTTCCAAACACTCTCATGATTGTACATCGAAACAGGGCGAAAGGTTCAGGATTGGTAAATAAACTTATAAACAAACTTCCTATCGAACTGCATATTCCTGGTTACCAATTCTGCGGACCGGGTACTCATTTACAAAAGAGAATAAATAGAGGTGATCCAGGTATAAATCCCTTAGACGCTGCTTGTAAAGAGCACGATATAGCATACTCTCAGTCTAACAATTTAACAAAGAGACACGAAGCAGACAAGATCTTAGAAGATAAAGCTTGGCAGAGGGTTAAAGCAAAGGACTCTTCGTTTGGAGAAAAAACAGCCGCTTTAGGCATAACAGGTGTAATGAAAGGAAAGCGAAAATTGGGAATGGGTGTTAAAAAAGCAAGCAAAATGAAAGCGAGCAAAAAAAAAGCGTATTATAAAAACACCTAATAAAATTGGTGGATTTTTACCTCTTTTACTACCGATATTGGGAGCACTTGGCGCGCTAGGCGGAGGAGCGGCAGGTATCGCGAAAGCAGTAAACGATGCTAAAGCGGCCAAAGAGCAGTTGGCAGAACAAGAACGTCATAACAGAGCCATCGAAGCCCAAGGCAAAGGACTATACGTAAAACCGTTTAAAAACAGTAGAAGTGAAGGAAAAGGTCTTTATATTAAACCATATAAGGGCGGTGTTGTGTCGAAGGAGAAAAATACCCAAAAGAGAAAAAAAAAGTCCAAATAAATTTACCTCGAAGAGCTTTGACAAATTTCGATCTGGAAAAATATGCAAAAATACTACAAATTCCGCAT